CATCCCAGCCATTTCTGGGACAATGCTTCTGGTCTGCTGAAGAGCCCACTGGGAAGATAGGGAGGAATAAATTCCCTAAAATGCTGAAAACACTCAGGGCTGCCTGATGGGGGCACCCAGGGACTCAGAATGGGACCAGGAGCACCCAAAGCATGGTTTTTTTTTAAATAGAGTCTTTTATTTAGACTCTATAAAGAATTATTTAGATGTTAGAGTTTACACAACCAAGAGTTCAATCTGCTGGTGGCCCCTTCCTGGTGTTGAAGCAGGGAATACAGGGAATAGGATGTTTCTTTGAGCAATACAGAGGAGCTGATGCCTAATTCTTGGGACAGGAGGTGTCAGGTGATGTACAGAAGGAGGTGAACTTCTGACTGATAGTATATTTGGCTACCCAGGAGCTGACAGATGGTTTATGGCTGAAGGAATTAAGGTTTGACGTCATTTTCATAACAGAATTTATTGCAGTAATTACTGGACTTTATGCAGAGCTCCTCCCTATAAAAACTGCCCTAATTGGCTTTAAAATTTGCTAGCTACTAAAGCCTTTAAGAAGTGCAAAGAGGATTAAAGATGTGGCACAGAGACACTGTGCACAGAAGTGGAGCTTCCCTTGCAGAGGGACACCCAGGCAGCAGCAGCAGGAGCAAAGCTTCCCAATTTTCCGATTCCTCAGTGAGAATGACCCTGAGTGACACAACCACCACCACTTGAGTTCCTCCACCCCCAGCCTGAGCCCAGGCAAAGAGGTTCCCATGGATAGGAGCCAAGTTTTCCCACCTGGGAGCAGGGCTTCCCAGTCAGCCAGGGAAAGGACAGGTCAGAAAGCAAAGGATTAATCCTGTCATGGAGCAGAGAACACCAGGGAGACAGAGAGCCCTGAGTGGGGATGAGCTGCAATAGTGATCAGTATTCACAGAATCACAGAATGGTTTGGGTTGGAAGGGACCTTAAAGACCTCATTCCAACCCCCTGCCATGGGCAGGGACACCTTCCACTAGCCCAGGTTTCTCCAAGGCCCATCCAACCCGGCCTTGGACACTTCCAGGGATGGGGCAGCCACAGCTTCCCTGGGCAACCTGTGCCAGGGCCTCCCCACCCTCACAGAAAGAATTTGTTCCTAATATCTCATGTAACCCTGCCCTCTGTCAGTTTAAAGCCATTCCCCCTTGTCCTGTCACTCCATGATCCCTTTTTTCTCACCCCTCTGTCAGATGTCAAAGCAAGTGCTGGTGGAATGGGAACATCTCCAGATGTCCAAAGAGGAAAGCTGAGAAAAATCTCTATGTGAGAAGAGAAAGTGAGGAATCAAGACAGAAACACTGCCTATAAGGAAATAGGAAAAACTCACAGGAAGGCAAAAACCCCCTTTGTATCTCTTTAGGTTGGATTTTGAAGCAATTGCTTTTTTTTTTTCAGGACCAACAGAGAGATGGGGCTGGATTTGAGAGTTGTTTTCTGCCCATAGAAGTTGTTAATCCATCCCTTGGAAGTGTCCAAGGCCAGGCTGGATAGGGCTTGGAGCAACCTGGGATAGTGGAAGGTGTCCCTGCCTGTGGCAGGCGCTTGGAACAAAATGTTCTTTAAAATCCAATCCAACCCAAACCATTCCGTGATTCCATGAATTACAAACTGAGCCCTGATCCTGTCTGTGAGCTCCAGGACAAGGCTCCAGCCAAAGCAAAAGCCATTCCAGCTGCAGGGAGCAGGACACAGCAAGTTGCTAATAAGCAAGAAGGAGTAAATCAGAGGAATTTGGGAGCTCTGCTCTGACCTCAGTACCAGCAAAGAGGTTTAAAATGAATGTAAAGCCAGATGATGGTAGGAAAAGAGGAATATGTATGTGATTCAAACTTCCCTAATAGAGCTGGATCAAAGGACTCCAGCAGAGGGGGAAGGCAGGAGTGTCACTTCCATTCCTTTCAAACTGTAGCAGAAGCAAAACCTTGGCTTTTTTTAAAGCCTGCAAAGGCTCCACTTTCACACCAAGCTGTTGCAGAGCATGTGAACCCCTTTGGATGTCCAGCCCAAGCACTGGAATTTCTTTAGCAATTAAATCCCAGGGAGTAGCAAGGTTGGAGATGCTTTAGTCTGAGAACACAGCTCTGCACAGCCAAATATTTCCTGTGCAGCACAAAGCAGCTTGAAAACAGTCACTACTCTGCTTTAATGTGAAGAGCTCCCAGCTACAAGAATTTAAACCCTGGAAACTGTGTATATTTAGGAGGAAACAGGGAAAGAAACTGCATGTTGGAGCCTGCAGTCTGCCAGGCAAAGGTCAGGCTTTTAAACACAGAAACAAACTTGAAGAGAGGTTTCCAACAACGGGATTTTTTTTTTCTGGTAGCAATATGGGAGGTAAAGAACGACTCAAAGTGATGGGAGTGATTAGGAAGGAAGAAATCTGCTGTGTGAGTCAGTACCAACCCCACATTCCAATATCCATCCATTTGGGCAGCAGAATATGCCTTAAAACTACAAAGAGATATTTATGGTCCAGGTGGAAGCTGCTCACTGCTCATTGCAACCTTCAAAAGGAGGGTCTGGTGGATCCCAGGCATCAGGAGAGCTTTAAATTTTCCTCTGGATGTCTGGGGTGGATGGGGGGGGTATTTTGATGCAAATCCTGCTGTGGTTGTCTCCAACCCTTTTGGTTCCTTTCAAACCTCCTGGTTGCAAATAAGCTGCCCAAGAGGATAAATATTTAACACACAAAGCTCATTCAGTTTTCTGCTCAGGGTCTGCACCAGCTCCCAGTTTGGTCTGGGATAAAATGGAAGGGCAACAGTGTGAAACATCCACAGACAGGCTGGCTGTGAGCCCTCTGGGAGGAGGGTGAGCAAAGCAAACCTGCTCCTGAGATGCTATTTTTAGATTTCACATCTCTTCAGGCGGACAGGGATAATCTGTCCCAAATTCCAGCATAACAGGAGCAAAGAAGTCCTGCCTACAACGCTGTAACTTCCTTTTGAGTAAGGAAAAAATCATCTCCACCTTCCTTGCTTTATGTGAAGTTCAAGACTGCAAGGGAGACAAAATTTACCACAGAATCCTAGAATATCCTGAGTTGGAAGGGTCATGGGAAGGCCATACAGAGATCTATTAGATGCATTAAAAAATTGATTTTTCAACTTGCAGCCATCAGATCTTGCTGCTCATATCTTAACTCCAGCACTGAAAAATGAGCTTTGGGTAACAGTGTCCGCATCCCTGATTAGTCCATAAAGCCACAAATCACAGAATGGTTTGGGTTGGAATGGACTTTAAAGACCATTTAGTTCCAGCCCCTTGCCACGGGCAGGGACCCCTTCCACTAGCCCAGGTTGCTCCAAACTCCATCCAACTTGGCCTTGGACGCTTCCAGGGATGGGACAGCCACAGCTTCTCTGGGCAACCTGTGCCAGGGCCTCCCCACCCTCCCAGGGAAGGATTTCTTCCTTACATCCAAACTAAATCACATTTTTTCAGCTTAAAGCCGTTATGAGTGAGACCCCTGCACTCTGCTGCAGGGGAATGGGCAGGTGGATGTGGGATCCTGTATGCTTTGGTCCACGTGATTTTCATCAGGAATAGCTGAGGGTGCTTCCAATTGGAGCATTTTATAGTTGAGGTAGAGATTTTAAAAACTAGATGTCACGTGGAATAGATTTCACGTAATAAACTGAAAAAATATGGTTTATTGCCTAAGAAAGGACAACTCAATTTCAATGGGATGTGGATTAGGACCCCTTGGCCATGGGGTGATGGGAAAGCAGAATCCATCTCCAAACCTGTCTCCACCTTCTCACTCTCTACAACTCCCTGAGAAGAGGTTCCAGCCAGGTGGGGGTCAGTCTCTTTTGCCAAGTAACGAGTGACAGAACAAGAGAAAATGTCTTTAGACTGTGCCAGGTTGAGGTTTAAATTGGATAGTTGGGAAAATTTCTTCACTGAAAGGGTTGTCCAGCCCTGGCCCAGCTGCCCAGGGCAGTGGTGGAGTCCCCATCCCTAGAGGGGTTAAAAAGATGTGGCACTTGAGGATGTGGTTCAGTGGGGGTTAATGGTTGATCTGAGGGGTCTTTTTCAACCTTAATGATTCTCTGAGTCCCTGATTATGTTTCCAGCTCTGCAGGAACAACCCTGGGACAGTGAGCAAAGGACATTCCTCTTCATCTTTCAAGTGTACACAGAGGTAACACTTATCCAAAGTTTCCATGTGTCAGGATACTTGGAGAGCAGGAATACATGTGCTGGGACAAGCCTTCTCTTTGCTGAAGACCCTTTAAAACTGATGTTTTACTAATGAATCTGGAGAAATTCTCAGTGGTAAACACATGTGATGGTTGAATTTTCAACCCCTTTTCCTAAAGAGACAGAAAAGCTGTTTATTCACCCTATTAATCTGCTGGTGTTTCCTTAAAATCTGATAATTTTGTAGTTCATTTGATATGAACTACGTATTTATTGTGACAGGATAATCAGGTTTGGCCAGTGCAGTGGAGTACAGAGGACTGGTATTTATATCCAAACCAAAACCCTAAAAATGGTCAGCATCATTCCTAGGAATTCCCAAAGGATGTCTGTGTTATGGAGACAACAGTTTATTTAGTTCAAGTCTCAGCAGCACCTTCCTGACCTTGAAGGAGGAGAGAGGAAGAGTGAGAAGATCAGGAAAAGCATCATAACTTGGAAAGGACTGAGGACAACAGGACATGCTGCCAGGAGAGGCTGGGAAACTGCCAGGGCTGGGGAGAGACTTGGGAGCTTGACTTTGTGGTTGCTTATTTGAAAGAGAAATCAAAGATAACAGCAACGCAGGCAGACGGACTAGACCCATAAAATATCCCTCCTGCTCCATGGTGAGGAAGATTTCAAGGGTATCTCAGGATCCTTACGGCCTTGTTCATGCCCACAAGGCAAGGAATTTCCTGCTGGTGAAGGAATGAGTTTGGATTCACGTTATGGAAGGGGTTGGGATAGGTCTGGAATGCTCTTTGATGCAAAGTGAAAGCCAGACTTACGCTAACGTTTGTTTTATCACTGCCACCAGAAGAAACACTCCAGCGTTTTATAACCTAAACATACATAAAAGAGAAAAACATTCTTTTGTTGTTACTTTAATCCCTGGTATCTGCAGTTTGCCTCCTCAGGGCAAGCTGAAGATGGGGCAGGAGGTTCCAGCAGGCTCCTGAGCAGCAAATGGTAGAAAAAGGGGTGAAAAAAAAAAGCTATTTGTTTTGCTTTCTGCTGCTTTGGAGGTTTTTAAACCAATACCCGTTCCTGACTTGCCAATACTGATCTTCACAAGCTCCCCCTCCTGGGTTAGATCCCAGGGAAAATCCCAACTTGAATAAGACTCAGTCAATATGCAAAGGCCACCTTTAGAGCTCCCCTCAGCAGCTCAGAGCCCTTTGATGCTGACAGTGGCAACTTTAATTCTACACAGATACATCTCTGAAATGCTAAAGACACCTCAATCTATAAAACCCTGCTGCAAACATCCCATGGATTAGCTTGTATGTGGTGTTTAAGCATTTTTGGGTTTATAGCTGCATCGATCCTAAATAACAGAAAAAATAAAGCAGAGAGATGATGCTCAGTGAAACTTTGGGATTCTGGGCCACCACAGGCTCCTTTGATCTGGACCTGCCTGCTAGATCCACTATCCCTCTCATCCTGCTGCCCATAATGACACCTTGCCATGGGCAATAAAAGTGAGATTTGCTGGGATCACACCTCTGGAGCTCAGCACAGCAATGCTGGGAGATAACAAAGGCTCTGCAGGGCTCTGCTTCCCCCAAAAACCAAACTAAACCTCTCATTCCATCACCCTCTCAGCTCTGGTCTTGCCTCTAAGGGAGTCCCATCAAAATCAGCCCCACCTTGGTCATGCTGCATCCTGGATCTGACTTAAAATCATGGAATCCTTAAGGTTGGTCTAAGATCATCAAGTCCAACCATTAGTGGTGCCAAGGCCACCACTAAATCCTGTCCCTAAGCAACACATCCATATGTTTTTTTAACATTTCCAGGGATGGTGATTCCACCACTTCCCTCAGCAGCCTCTTCCCATGCTTGACAACCCTTTCAGTGAATAAATTTTTCCTAATATCCAAACTAAACCTTCCTTGGTGTAACTGGAGATGCTTCCTCTCATCCTGTCACTTGTTACCTGGGATAACAGACCGACCCCCACCTGGCTACAAACCCCTTTCAGGGAGTTGTAGAGAGCAAAAAATTCCTCTCTGAGCCTTCTTTTCTCCAGGTTGAGCCCCCCCAGCTCCCTCAGCTGCTCCTCATCAGAATTATGCTCCAGCCCCTTTCCCTCTCCAGCCCCTCAATGTCTTTCTTGTCATGAGGGACTTTGATTATAAATGACCAAGAATGTCATAATTAGCTCACCTTGCCCCTCTTCTGAGTGCAAGCAACCCCCAAATTTAATTTGTACTGCCAATCTGGCTCTGACACCTGTTTTTCCCTTCAGCTGGAGCCAACAGACTTCCCTGCATCCTTTCAGTCCTTGCCCAGCTGGCTGAGACATGTGGAAGCTGCCACCAGCCTGCCCTCCTTTATTTGTATCATCTACATCACTTAGTACACAGGTTCCTGATATCTGGTTCTAGTCCCACATCTCTGCTCCTCTGAAAAGCTGCTTCTCTCAAACTGCCTTCCTTAAAGTCTCCTTTTCCTTGGAAGTTTGCTCCTGTTGAGGAAAACTGTGTATATTATGAAATCCTAGAATGGTTTGTGTTGGAGGTGACCATAAAGCTCATCCAATTCTAGCCCCCTGCCATGGGCAGGGACACCTTCCACTAGCCCAGGTTGCTCCAAGCCCTGTCCAATCTGGCCTTGAACACTTTCAGGCAGCCACAGCTTCTCTGGGCAACCTGTGCCACCCTCACAGGGAGAAGTTTCTCCCTAATATCCCATCTCAACCTTCACTCTTTCAGGTTAAAGCCCTTCCCCTTTGTTGACCATCACAGTCCTGTCACTCCAGGCCCTTGCCCAAAGTCCCTCTCCAACTCTTTTAGGTACTGAAAGGCCACAACAAGGTCAACTCAGAGCCTTCTCTTCTCCAGGCTGAACAATCCTAACTTTCTCAGCCTTTCCTCCCAGGAGAGGTGCTCCGGTCCTCGGAGCATCTTCCTGTCCTCATCTGGACTGGCCCATTTCTATATTCCCATATCACATGGATGTGGTGATCAGCTGCCACCAGTAACCCACATTTAATCAGGGTTCAGTCCTCAAGATGTGCTGTCAACCCCACAGCTTCAATCTCATTGCTGTGGCCTTCCTAAACAACCCATCCCTGCCACCTTGGCCTCTGACTTGGTGCCATAACATCGGGTAGATGGTTCCTGCCGTCCCCTCCTCCTGCCCTCTCCCCTTTCCACCTGGATTTCATCTAATCTCCAGTTGCCAGCTATGAGTGGATGTACAGGGCACAAAGAGATGGCCTGAAAGGGAATGCAAAGAACAGACACAAACACAAAGCAGACAACACCATGGACAGACACGAGGACAGACATCCTCCTTCTGGGCTGCTGACCAGGAGACGAGCTGGTGGCACCTCTGTGAGCCTCCCTGTCCTTTGTGGTGCACGTGTTTGTTACAACACCCATGGACAGAAAACCAAGGGAAAGTGTTCAGCGAGTGCTCCTAAACTTTCCTGCTGCTTCCCATGCTCCTGTTGGAGAGGATGGCTCTGGAAGTGTCTGACTGACCTTGCTGTCCGTTGTTGGAGACTCCTTGTCCTTCTCTGCGTGCTGGAGTTTTCTGTTCAGGTCTTGGAACATGTCTTGGTGACGTTTCCTCGTGTGCATGATTTTCTGGAGCAAACACAAAAGGCCACAGGTCAGCAAAACCAAATTCAGAAGGAGCATTTCCTCCTCCCAGAATTACAAAATCCAAGATCTGTCTCCCTGCAGGTGAAATCTGCTGTGCACTAAATATCTTCAACATTTCCTGAGGACCCACAGTACACTGCCTTTATTTTCAAGGTGAGATGGTGGAAGAGAGTAAGAATTATTAATTTTTGACTGTACCATTACCCTAAACCTGCAAGAACCAACTTTTTATGCTGCACAGTTTGTGCTTGACTGGCAATGTTCTACTAGACAGACCTAGGAAGCTTTGCTGACCTTCTTTAACTGATACTTGACCCCATGAAAACCCTGTTCTCAGTAAGTCACCAGTAAATACACAAACATGTAGAATTTGGGGAAATTCCACCAGAAACTGTTCCATAATTTTTTTTTTTTTTTTTTAATTTGACCCATCTGCATTTCACTTCTACCTTCTACTGCCCAGAAGGGGGGGGGGCAGGACTGATTCCTGTAAGAACTTCCCTTGGCATGTGAGAGCACATTGAGTATGGATTTCCATATGTGCTTGTCCTTGTGCTCTGCCAAGGGCTAGACGAGTGGAGAAGGTGGCAGCTTTCATGTGCCATGGTGCCTCAATTTCAGACAAAATTCCCAGCCTGGAGCTCTGAAGTGATTCCAGCATTAAGGGATTCCAGCTCTTGGGCCCTTAATGTGACTCTGCTTTGGAAGAAGTGGCAGCTGTGAGGGGAATCATGGGGTCAGGCTGGGTCAGGTTGGAAGGGACCACAGTAGGTCATCTGGTCCAATCTCTCTGCTCCAGCAGGGTCATCCCAGAGCACAGGGCATAGGATTGTGTCCAGAGGGGTCTGGAATATCCCCAGTGAGGGAGATTCCACACTGTCTCTGGGCAACCTGTTCCAGTGCTGGGTCACTGCCCAGCAAAGAAGTTCTTCCTCATGCTCAGGTGGAACCTCCTGGGCATCAGTTCCTGCCCGTTCCTCTTGTGCCATTGCTGGGCCCCTCCCGAGCAGAGCCTGGTCCATCCTCTGCCCCCTCCCTGCACACATGGACAGACATGGAGGAGGTCTCCTCTCAGTCAGGCCCAGCTCCCTCAGCCTTTCCTCATCAGATAATCCCTCAATCATCTTTGTCCCCCTCCACTGGACCCTCTCCAGGAGCTCCATGTCTCTCTTGCCCTGAGGAGCCCAGAATTGGACACAGCACTCCAGATGAGACCTCCCCAGAACCGGACAAGGACAGAGAAGGAAAGGACAGCCCTTCTGGGAAGGACGGACTGAGGATCGCTGCACTAACGCTCATCAGCCCCACAGACCCTTTGTGAAAGGTTGGCTTTTCAGAACAATCCACTCTGTGCCTCAGGTGTGAGGACAGATATCTCCTTACCTACAGTAGTTTTTCCACCCAGGCTCATTCTATGAAGGTCATTAATAATAAATCCCCTATTTTTTTAGCTGCACAGGCTAAGCCTTGATACCCCAGCACAACTCCAACCCACCAGTTTTAAACCCTTGAAGAAGCTCTTTGGCAAAAGCAGGAAAGAAGGCTAGAGAAAGAAAAGAAAGCACTGTTTCTTTTTCTCATCCTATCCCTCAAAAAGAACATTCCAAAAGGGATGTACTCACCTCAAAATCTAGCTCTGCATACCGAGATTTCCTCCGCTGGGTGTTTGAGAGAGAAAGAGAAGGGTGAAGGTTAGTGAGGGGTTGATACAATCAGATTAGATAAAACAGGGACAGTCCTTCTCCTTTTCCTTCTTCCTACATGTTTCTCTGGCACTCCATGATGTAAAGTGCCAAGCATTTAGAATCATAGAAAGGTTTTGGCTAGAGGGAACCTCAAAGATCATCTGGTTCCAGCCCCCAGCATGGGCAGGGACACCTTCCACCAGACCAGGTTGCTCAGAGCTTCATCCAATCTGTCCTTAAACAATTCCAGGAATGGGACATCCACAACTTCTCTGGACAACCTTCTCCAGAGCCTCACCACTCTCAGAGGGAAGAATTTCTTCCTAATATCTAATCTAAATCTACTCTCTTTAGTCTAAAGCCACTCCCTTTTGTCCTGTCACCACATGCTCTTGCAAAAAGTGCCTGTCCATCTTTCTTGCAAGGCTTCCTTCAGGTACTGGAAGGCCACAATTAGGTCACTCTGAGGGATCTCTACCAAAACCAGTGTACCTTGAGGAGGGCATGGGATTTTGACCAATTCAAGCTCTGTTCTGGCTGTGAGTTTTCAGGTTGTTCACAGAATGGGAAGCAGAGAGGGAACAGATCAGCCAACGGATTTACTGGAGCTTCCGAGCACCAGCCAGCTGAGACTGAAGTTTGGACAGCAGTGGTTGAGACCTGCTCTCTGGCAACAGGCAGGAACAGGGCCAGATGCCCCAGGACAGACCTCAGTGTAAGACCTAAAGTCTGAGGACAACTGCTAATATCAGCCCTAGCATGAATCACAGAATCATCAAATAGTTTGGGTTGGAAGGGACCTTAAAGATCATCTGAACCCCCTGCTAGAGGCAGAGACACCTTCCACTACACCAGGTTGCTCCAAGCCCCATCCAACCTGGCCTTGAAACAGAAATGAGTTATCAAAGCTCAGAAGGAGAGGGATGCACTTGTGCAAAACCTCTGACATCCCCCTGATGCCAAGAGCATTGTGGGATATGCCTTAGGGACACTTTACCCCTGGATCACCAGGAGTTTCCCATCTGTGTCATGACTGAAGTCATCAAAAAGGGAAACAGAGGCAGAGGATGGAAGGAGAAAAGTTAAGGCAAGACATGTGTCTTGCATTAAAATGAGAAGTCTTTGACAAACTACCATTTTTCTTTGACCCTGCAGTATCTGTAGGGCCAAAGGCAGTTGATCCATAAATGGAATCTGTCTTTGGAAGTTGTGAGAGATTTCAAACATTACATTCCAAAATAGTATCCCGTGCCAGTGATCCCTCCTGGGAATATAATACTGGCATTGCATGGTGGGCTGCACCTGCTCTAAGGTGCTTCTCTTGGAACACCTGCCTTTGAGGGCAGGGCACCATCCCGGGCTGAGAACAACCCAGCAAATCCCACACTCACCTCCAAGGAGCTCATGGAGAGGGTGGACACGGTCTCGCTCTTGGACACCACACCCGAGTTCCCTGAGTCACCCGTGTCACACAGGCTGTTGGGAATCTGTGACTCGTTGGAGATATTCTGTGGAGCCAGCTGCTGCTGCTGCTGGATCATGGAGGAACCCTGGACCTCGCTGCACGCCATGGCCACGGGCTCCCGGGGAGGGCTCTTGACCACAAAGCCCGGGTCGGTGGCCATGCTGAGGTGGATGAGCCGCGTCTGAGGCATCTGGTCGATGTTGATGCTGTATTTGCTCTCATCCTTGGGCGGTTTGGCCCTCAGGGTGGACGTGTTGGTGGGCAGGATGACGTAGCTGGTGTCCAGGGTTTGCTCCTGCGCCCGCGAGAGCTCCGAGTCCAACTTCTTGAAGATGTCCCCGTCGCAGATGTAGATGGATTTGGGTGGCTGGTTCTTGTCCTTCTTCAGGGTGAGGGAGTGGTTGCTGAACTCGTTCAGGTTGATGGCCCCCAGGTAGTGTGGTGAGCCCTGGAGGTGCATCTTGGAGACGTTGGCTGGAAGACTGTTGAAGTTCGATGACACTTTCTGGTGGTTGAGTTTCAGTTTCTCCTCATCCGGCAGCGATGGGCGCTTCAGGGTTCCCGTGATGGTTGAGGTTCTGCAGGTGGTGATGTCTTTATTCAGCACTGGGGAGACAGAGAAGTGCCCTCAGCACCTCGCCCGGGTTTTGGTGAACACATCAACACAACCCACCACAGTCACACCACGCCAGCACGTTCCCTTGCACCTCTCAGGAAGAGTTCATGGTTTAATATTATTTATATATTCATATTTTAAAATATTTTATATTTTGAGTCCAGGATACTGAAGGCAAAGCTAAAGATAGGGAAGAAAAAAGGGAATTTTCCTACACAATCATTGCCAAAACTCCCATCTAGGCTACAAATACTGTCATGTTGATAACAATACATTGAATAACAAATACATTTTTATATATTTAGTACACATAGTATATGCATATATATATATGAACTATATATATTACTAGCTTATGGAGTTGAATTCTTTAAAATAAAGGTTGCTTTTATGTAAATAAAATTACTTTGATTCAGAAAATCAAAAATGCAGCATTATCTCTGATTTCATAGAATCATAGAATGGGCTGGAAGGGACCTTAAAAGGTCATCCAGTTCCAACCCCCTTCAAATATAATTTATTTTTTGTAACTCACTGAAATACTTCAGGTTGTTCTTTTCCCTTGAACAGCTTCAGTGTTAGTAAACTGGTATTTTGAAATACAGCAAAATTCGTTATAAATTCCACACTGCTCTCCAAAAACCTTACATTCTAGTAAACATGGCAAGGCTTTGTGAGACCTAATTATTCAGCAATTTTTAACTTCCCTTCAGGAAAGGAAGCAGTGACATGAATATTCCTTAAAAAGGGAGGAAAACTTTAAACTGAGGAGGAAGTGAACATGCCATGGACACACAGACACTCATTCTCACACAACAAAACATCTGCTCCTTTCCTGGGTGTAAGAATCCATCACTCAGCTGACTTCAGGCTGCAACAAAGACCTTGGGAAGATAATGATGTCAACCTGGATGTCTCCATGGATGGAAAGGCAGGAAAATCATGGAAATCAGCCCGTGGGGCAGGGACAAGTGGTGTGGGACTGAAGGCTACTTACCTGGGATTTCAGCACAGGAAAGGAGGAATAAATGCATGTTCCCCATTCCCCTGGCTGAGTAGGAAATAAAAAATAGGTAAAAAGATCTTTTTTGGGACAGGGAGAAGGATCTTTGTGGGAACCTGACACTACTGAGCTGCTCCAGCTGGGATAGAGGCAGGACATGACTCAGGTATCCCATGGGACTGAGGACACACTGATTTTTCCTACCAGCTCCTAGTGGGAGTGAGGGGTGCTGGGACATCAAAGTTCCCCTCCAAGAGCAGGCAAAGCAGGATGACAAAGGCACCAAGGAGAATAAAAAGAACTTTCCAAGAGCTTTTAAAGCCAAACAAACCAGGGCAGCCACAACCACCTTGACATCGCTGGAGGACAAATCAGAGCAAGGCAAACCCTTCCCTTGGGAGTGTCACCAAGGTTTATTGATCCAGGCTCCCCTCCATGCTCCCATGAGCTGCACAAAGCACATTTGGAGAGGTTTACACTTGGCAATCTCCAAGCATGGAGTGGGGTGAGCTTTGGACACCGAGCCATGGACCAAACCCTACCGGTGGATCTACGTGAGCGGGTTATGAGAGGGATCAGCCACATCCCCAACCCATCATAACATGAGAGATGGTGCCTCCAGGAGAAAGGGTGGCCAGAAACCAATGGACAGATTGCCATTTTTTGTTATTCAAGGCACCATATAGAAGGGTCTCTGAAGTGGGGATTATTATTATTATTAACTAACAGCACTTTATGAGAGGAGGAAAATCTCTCCAGGCAGACATCAACCCTCAAATTGTAAAGTTCTGTGCTGGCAAAGGAAGGGAAGCTTGGGGGTTGTTCCAGGGTCTCCTGCTCTGAAGTCATGTGAAAAAAATCAGTTCCTTCCTTTCCCCTGGGAAGCTTGATCTGGGAGCAAAAAACATGGTAGGAGATCCATAAAGGCTCCTTTAATGCAGGAGTCCAGGGACTGCTGTGGTTTACAGCTGGTTGTGTGTGCCAACACCCAGCCTGGATCATCCTGGAGCATCCCTTCAAGTCAGGCAAGGTCTCACACACGTTTTTCACATGATTTTTTTTTTTTTGGAACTCAGTATTTGGTGTCAAAAGAGAAGGAGGAAGACAAATGAGAAGAGGCAGACAGCTAGAAATGAGGTTAGAGAGTGTGAGACGGAGGAACAGGAAGAAAAAAAATGGACAGACCCTGAAAAGAGATAAATGGACAGAAAGAGACCATGAAATAAGATATCACAAGGATAAGTGAGATAAATATACTGTGACTGTGATAAGCACGGGAAGTGGGAGTGAGGAAGAGAGAAGGACAGGAAAAGATAAATAAGATATAGATAGATATTAGACAAATAAATGATAGTGACAGTGACAGACAATACACAGAAACACCATGACAGGGATAAATGTTGACAGAGATAGAAATATATAAATAACAGGTACAGCAAGACAGACAGCTGAGGATAGAGATAGAGAAGTGATTTCAAGATAGAATGAAAGTGATGAATTATAGATAAATACATTAGAAGCAGAGAAATAAATGATAGATGAGATAAAGAATAAGATAAATGAAAAGGACAGGTAGATGTTTAGAGAGAGAGGGAGGAGAAGAGAGAAAAGGTAGGGAAGGGAGGAAGGGAGGGAGGGAGGAAGGAAGGGAGGGAGGAGGGAATGAAAGAAGAGAGGAAGGAAGACAGGAAGGAAGGAAGGAAGAGAGAAAGGAAGGAAGAAAGAGGAAGGAAGAGAGGAAGGAGGCAATGAGGGAAGAGAGGAAGGAAGAGAGGAAGGAAGGAAGGAAGAGAGGAAGGAGGGAAGGAAGAGGAAGGAAGAGAGGAAGGAAGGAAGAAAGAGGAAGGAAGAGAGGAAGGAGGTAATGAGGGAAGAGAGGAGGGAAGACATGAAGGAAGAGAGGAAGGAGGCAATGAGGGAAGAGAGGAGGGAAGAGAGGAAGAAAGAGAGGAAGAGAGAAAGGGAGGGAGGAAGGGAGGGATGAAGGAAGAAAGGAAGGAAGAGAGGAAGGAGGGAATGAAGGAAGAGAGGAAGGAAGAGAGGAAGGGAGGGAGGGAGGGAGGAAGAACGGAAGGATTATCAAAGAGACAGAGAGAGAGACTGAGAAAAAGCAGCTTTCTCATGGTGGTAACTGAACACACACAGTGTATTGTCCTCGACTTGGGAAGATCCTGGTTTGGAGGATATGAATTATATGCAAGTGCCAAGCAAGCTGGAATTTCTCTTGCTTGGGAGGTGGGAAGTCTGGGAGGGTAAATGAAAGCCTAAATTATCTACAAAGGGTAAGATTCTGTCAGGCATGAGGTCAGGCATGAGGTCAGGCATGCCAGGACCAGGACAGGACAAAACCTGCAGAGGTGAACAGGTGGCAAAGGAGAATCCAGAAAGCACAGACACTTCCCAGGGTTATTGGGAAAGGGGCTGTCAGCTCATGCACATCTTCAGGATCAAAATGAACGCACAGCAGAAAGGTGCAGGCAGAGAAGGAAAGACCTGACCAACTTCCACATGCACAGGCAGTGTCCAACTGCACTAGAAGTGCTTGGAGCCAGGTGGACTGTTGGGAAGGCTCTCCAGATTCCAGACCTTCTCAAAGACACCCTTCCTGAGCACAGAGCTGTCTGAGGTTGGTGGGATCCCCTCGGGCGGGGGTTGCTAGAGCAAAGAAGGATCACAGTAGGAAGAGATGGATCCCAGCTCTTCTTCCTTGATACTCTTCTCTGCCACTGGGTTAGATGTCAAAAAATAACACCTTGGAGGCAGTGCTTAATCTGAGTTAAAAGAGCTGCAGGAAAATAGGACAAGCAAAGGGAAAATTAGGGGTGTTGCGTTCTCTTGGTCAGGGTTGAGAGTGAGGGCAAACAACCCAGACAAGTACATGCAAGGCATCAAGACACACACACAGAAAACAGAAAGGGAAAAAAAAATGGCCTAGTTCAATCCCCAAACCAGGTCACTTGCTGATTCTCACCTGTGATGTGCTCACCTGATCTACAAGCCATGTCCACATCCTTCTCAAAATCGGTCTGAAAGACAGAGAACACAGAGGACGTGGTCAAAAGGAGGTGGGGGAGGAAGGAAATCCACTGGGAAAATGCAAAACCCCACCTGAATTAGTGAGGTGGACACAACCACTGCCAGAACAGCGGGGGAGAAATGTTTTGTTTGGGCTTTGAAACATGGCCAACACACCAATTTTATTCACCTGTGGCTTTTGAACTTCAAGCACTGATAAAGCTGTAAATTTTTTTTTCAGCTGGCTTCATCTGCTCATCCATTCACTGATTTCTGGGCTGCAGGTTAAAATATCTCCCTGGAACACATTCATGCACATTTCTAAAAAAAACAGGGAACAGGTCCCTGGCCAGAACTGTCTTGGATACATCACTCCACACACAGTTTAAGTGGATTCCCCTCCACTCATTAAAGAGATCTGGGGTTGCTGCTGAGAAAGCTCCATCCCCACTGGGCTTTCCTGTGATCTGTCACCAAGTCACACCAAGTGGAAACAAGTCTCTGCCTCTGAAACTCTTCACATAAAAAACCAAAGGTTCCTGCAGGCACAAAGGCTGAGGAACTTTTTCAAGTGGTCTGTACAGCCCAACCACACTCCTTTCTTCTCCCTGTAGAAGTGAAACTCTTTTTCTAAAGCTTTTGGTAGATAACATTTCAAAGAACTGGATAAACTAAGTCACAGCAGGCCATGGGTTTTCATGGAGCAATAGAAGAGCTGCAGACTAGAAAAAGGCAGAGAGTTCACTGACTATTTCTAGTATAATTTCAGAAGGACACTTCATATAATTGTATTAATGCGATTAAAATTGAATACTAAGAAAATTATGGGGAAAAAATCCCCACCCCCCTGGGATAAACAATTTAATATTTGCAGGTTGAGATCCAGGAACGTTTGAGGAAATATCTCAACCTCCTTGATGCTAATTCCTTGGTAAATTATTTGAGATAGCAAAGAAATCTGAAAAGAACAGAAGAGAAATATGACTGAACTAACATTTAAATGTTGACACAGAAAAATATAATCTCATTTTCCTACAGGAGTTCCCAAAAAAAACCACAGCTGAACAGCCTGTACTAGTTTTGCTGATAAATAAATAAAAGATAGGTTTATATTTAATTCCAGTCAACAAGATTTTGTGGAAAACAGTTCTACTCAGCTAAGCTCCTTTTCACCACTTGGGCAGATTTGGAGATTACTGGAAAAGGTAACAGCAAAATTGCCACCCTGCAAAGCTTTTGATTTCTTTGGTTATTTTACAGCTCAGTCACTGTAAAATAACATTGTACCCCTCTAAAAATATCAGTGAGGAGTCATCACTCACTTCTAGATCCCAGAGCTTTTTGTGCTTGGATGTGAAAAAGTGACTGTGAGCTCTCAGCTCCTCAAAACATCCACCACCAGTGCAGAATAAATGTAATATTGCTGCAAAACTTGTGGCTGACACAGAATTTTGCAATGAATGAATGAATGAAAACAGGGAATTTATACAGAGATACAAAAATCTGAAACTTGGGGTGGTGACAAAAGAATAAGAAATAGAGCATCCACATCTTCCAAGGGTGCTGGGAACGTGAAGGGCGGGTGGGAAAGGGTTCTATAAATAATTTGAAGGCACATCTTTACAGAGGGAGAATAAAAGAAGCTCAGGGTGATAACTTATTGAAAAGAAGATTGAGACTGGATATGATGATGGTGTCTATTATTGAAGAAGCCAAAGCAGCAGGCACATAAGGGGTTTTCTAACAACACACAATTAGGCAGAGCGAGAACCTGTCTGAAAACGAGGAGATTATGCACTGAAATGAGAAATGAGGCAGCTGTTTATAACAAACACCACCGAGGTGTGGTGGAATTGAATGTCTCTTGATGTCCTGACTCCAAGATTGTGCTGTTTGAAACCAGACTTTGCTGTAACCAAGCACAAACTGCTTTGCTTAGCACGGGAGTGAGGGGAAAAAAAACATCACTGGGTTGTGATGGAGTTCTAATAATAATGAGATGGTTTTGGAACTTGTTCAAATCCTGTGATTCTCCTGATGTCTTTACGTTAACTTCAGAAAATAAATGTTTCTTATATCAACTACCTCATAACAGTGAGGCAGACTCAAGAGGAAGCTCCACAGCTTATTCCTCTGTGGCCTTATCCACACTGTTTGTAAAGGACTTACACAACAGGACCGGGATTTACAGAGCTTAAATTACATTCCCAAGGAAGCAAAGTGTGCTTTGGAGAGAAACCAATCCCTCTGAGACAGCTTCTTTATAATAATAACCCAACACACAGTGATTAAAACAGTATTAAACTTAGTGCAGCTAGGCCAAGGCAGCGTGGTGGGGATGAGAAGGTCTGGAAGACCTGGGAGGTGTTATTTTGGCTTTTTATTTTCTGGGAGAGAGAAGATCTCACCAAGATGTCTGCAAATGCAGGTGTGTGAGTTTAAATCCCTTGATATCACAATTTAAAAAAAAAACACAACCAGATTTGTGTGAAAGAGTCTGTTCTAAGTGGTAAGTTTGCTCAAGTACAGGTTTAAAGGTAAAAAAGAACACTGACTGAAAACCCTCTGATGGACAGAGCCCTCTGTTCATCAGTTATGAATTAAAAATGCCCAGAGGTCCCTCAAGAGCAGCCCAGGTGGTGCTTTTCCCTACCATGAGCTGAGCGTGTCCATTCTGAAACGACCCCCCTGAGTCTCCGTTTCCCTCTTCCTGACGATCCACGACTCGGCACTTCACGGCATCCTGGACCTGCAGGAACACAGGGATTGGCAAAAGGCAGAGTCAGACAGACCAAACATATTAAATTCTGCTGAAGAAAAAAAAACAACCAGTCTTTGGTAGATAAAAGAACGTGGACTTAAGCAGCATCCAGGTATTTATTTCACATGGTTTATATGTAACATATTTCACTACTAAAGAGCGACTCCAAGGTTTTCCTTCTGTCCTGGGTCACTGCTTCAATTTGCTTGATTTATATAATCAAGAATAAAAATGCAGCTTGCAGTATCTTTACAACGGATGCTATTGCATAAATCATCATAGTGGAGTCTACAAAGTTTGATTATGATCCTGTGATAAATATCTGGTCCAAAACTCACTGAAATCAATGGAAAAAACAATCCCAGTGACTGCAATGGGAGTTCAATGCAGGCTCATATTCATAATGCAATTAGTGGAAGGAGTCTCAGCCAAGCCAGTGGTGTAATCCCATTGATTTCATTGGCCTGACATAAGGAATTAATCTGTTTTACTTAATTTAAAGGAGCTGTAAGAAGATGAAATGAATATTGAAAAAAAAAGCCCCTTCCTGTCTCTGTTATTAATAGTCTTTGCACTCGGTAGGACGAAAAGAATAAAAGAAACATAAAAGATTCATCCTTTTCTTCCCTGATATAAATTAACCATTTTAAATCTCCACAGGGAGGCTGCAGAGAATTCCCTCAATTTCCTTGCTTGATTATTGCTGACTTTACTTTCCAGTTGGAATATCTGGGTGCTCATGCCAACACACCTTTCGTTCCGTAAATCTCAGGGCAACTTGGCTCTCTTGAAATCACAAAGTACTTTTTTAATGTTGCATTTTTGGAGGTGGGGTGGAAACACGCTGGAAACGTGAATTTTGGTGTTAAACAAGCCGAGCTTGACATGTTATCCAATCTAAACCTGGCATGTTATCCAACCTAAGGCTGCCCACCAAATTCCACTCTGCAGGACAACCACCGATTCATCCCTCCTTTCCTCTGACCGACACTGTCACGGTCATTTTTGTGGTCACCATCCACACAAAGTCAAAAGTTTGCAGGGTTAGAGAAGTTCCCAGGCTGGCTGGACATTTTCCAGGTGATTTTTACGGGAAATGTGTTGATGATATAAAAGAGAAGGACCCCTTTGTCTCACCTCCCGCCGCAGGATGCAATGGACCATAACGATGACAAAGCCCTCCAAGGAGTCAAAGACAGCAAAGAGGATCTGGAAGAGGGCTGAGCGTCTGTCTGTGATGGCCAGGACTGCAGACATCCAGGTGAGGGCCAGGAGAGGCAGGACCACGCAGGAGCTCCAAAGGGATGCCCTGTCAAAGCAGAGGAAAAGAGAACCCAGCTTTAGCCTCACCCGCTCCCACGGGGGATGTTAATCCAGCCCCCTGATCCCACAGGGCTGCAGAAAATTCCTCCAGCAAACATCTACTTGTGCTGGATGTTGGATGTTTTCTGAGCCCCTCTCCCAGGGAAGCAGGAGGATGCTTTGCACACTCACTCTGCCAAAACAGGTGACGCGTTTCTGCGGGAGGGACAACTTTCCAATGGTGCAAACATGCAGAAAACTGGAGGTGGGGAGGAAGGATGAGGATACCTCACTCCCCCTTTCACACCCTTCCCACTCTGCCACTAATCCACAACGTTCCCCGAGGAAAGGGAGACAAAATACAGTCACTGGAGGTTGCCAAAGGGAAGGGGGACAGTTGCAGCAGAGACCGGTCTGTCACGATGGCTGTCGGTACTTGGGTCACACACACTTGGACTTCCACAGCACATGGAAGACACCAACACTGGGACAGGTGTCACAGTTTGGAGTGACTTGAACAGACAAGCTCAGAGCTGATGTGGAGACTGATACATTTTGCTGGTGCTCCTTTACTCCACAGCTGATGGTCCCTATGACACTGTGTCCATGAACACCAGGAGAACTGAGTCCTGACCCAATTTTCCTGTGGACAGAAAAATTTCTGCTTTCTGCTGTGACCTGCCCCCAAAAAATTTTTTCCTATATTCAGCAATTCCTGTAAATAAGTTTATTCATGGGTGGACATCCTGGGTTAAAATAACTTGAGATTCAAGCCACATTTTAATTCACAAGTTACTAAACTGGACAAAGTAGTTTTCTGTAATGCAAGTACTGCCCCACGAATCTCCACTTTATCTATAAAAAGTGGCCCTAGAGATGGCAAAGCAGCTCTGCTCCCATGGACTATTTGGGCATTCAGCAAGCTGAGCAAAAGGGGTCCCAAGCAATTTTAGCAGCCTACTGGGGAGATTTTAAGCTGTCAGTCATCCTGATGCACCAAGGAGAATTTCTCTGTGGGGTTTTCCCCAACAAATCAGAGCAGATTTGGGCACAGGCTGTGTAAAAAGTTGAGTTTCAAGCAAACCTCAACCTAAACACTAACAAACAAGTACAGGCAACACAATAAATTACAGGACAGATACCAGGACACACGTTTTTGCAGTACTTACATGGGACTTGCTTACCATTCTATGCTTGCCATCTCTGAGCAAGTTTTTAATGTTTACTTGCTGGTTATGCAGGTATTGCTCTCACAGAGCTCAGTGAGAGTTTTACCTGGACAAAGTTGGAGCTTGGATACAAGGGTGGACATCAGGATATAACCCCCTGGCTTCATTAAGGGTTTTGCAAGGGTTGTTACATCAGTTCTGCTGTAGTGACCACATATTGAAGTGACAGTTTATTTTCATAGTCAGAATGATACCCTAAATGCAATATCTCTACAACCTGTCCAGACTCAGATGTGTTCCTTAGTAGTATTATTAAGGAATAGAATTTACCTAAGGGAGCAGGGAAATGGAATTAATTATTTTTTTTTAATTAGAACAAGCGTTATGAGGCCCCCATGTAGGGTAAAGACCATGACATAATCTGATATCTTGTAATTTTATATAGAATGAAAAACATTGTTGTTTAATGTCCAATATGAACTATCACTTCAAAGCATTATTTAAAAAAAAAAAAACAAAACCAGGCAGTCAGACAGCCCTTAACCAAATAACTCCCAAACAGAAGTTTCTTATTTCATTTCTCCCTCAGCCCTCTGGAATCTGCCTCATTACACTGAAATCTCCCTTTGCTATCATTTGTGGTGGGGCATTATTAATCTGGCTGAGTAGTAGGTGGAGAAAAGTAGGTGTAGAAAAGTCAAAAGGAAAGATAAAGTTTGGTCCATAAGGCACCTCTCTAGATGCGTCTTCCATGCAACAATCAGCAAACACAACATTCCCAGAGCATGGCTGGGGACATGAAGCTATTCCAGCAGCAAAGGGAAACCATCAAAATCAACAAAAGCTGCTAGGAAAGGTCTGTACCAGACAGCTCTCCTTCCTGGGATCCTCTGATCTTCCAGAACACTCTTAGTACACACATATGTGGATGTTGCCACCCCCAGTGTGCAAACAAGAAACCTGGCAACCACATTTGAGAAGGGATCTGACCTGGGAATGAAGATCATCTGAGCTTGGGTGGGTTTTCCATTCTTGGAAAGACCTGCAACCTCACACTGGCAATGATTTGGGTCTGAATCCAAGATTTAGATGTGGATTTGGGGTTGTAAGGAATGCTGTTGGAGAGGTAAATTATATATAATTTATGTTTCTCTTCAGCAAATGGTTTGATTTGAATCCACTGGCTTCAAAACCTGCTTTAAGGAGGCACTGCTTGAGTCCATTTGCTATCCAGAGCATGGATGCAATGATCCAAAACTCTCTCTTCAGAGCTCCTGCTGCCTTCACATGCACTCAGAGAGTCCTTCCAGCCCCTTGATCCATGTGCCTCCATATGGGAAAACTATTCCACTTCCCTCTGAGTTGAGACATCCTGATGGACTTCACTACTGCTGCCAACATGAGCAACCTTAAATCATCACATAAATCTCTGCTTTTCCAACCAGATGATGGAAAACTCATCTGCCCTTCCATCTCAGATGATGAAAACAATATTACACCACGTATTCAGCTGGAGTAGATCAGGATTTTCCTGAGTAGTGCCGACTTACATCAGCTAAGAGTATGGCCTTTGTGATTCACCTTCTCAGCAACATTCATCCCTCACGAATGTTATGGAAATGCTGCTTGACACTTAATGCATAATCTTTATTCTCAGGCAGCAGGTGGCAACGGGTCACAGGAATGGAACTCACTCTAATTTCACTGGCAGAGTTCTGCTTAGATTTATGAAAGATTAAACTCAAAAAAAACCCCCAAACAAACCCTCCATTAAAAACAATCCTATAAAGACTGAAATTTCAGAAGAAAACTCAAGGGAAGGTAAGTGGGTTTTCTGTGAGATTGCCCCTACTTCTACTTGTTGTGAGCTGAATTCACAGCAGAGCCCACACTTCTGCCACCTTTCCACCTGTCCCTATTTTAGAAGCATCCTTAAAAACTTCCAGAATAACTCACAGGACTTAAGAAACGTCAAGTTATGTGATGTGATATGAAATGCTGATGTTCTATAATGACACTGTGATCACCTAATGGCTTTCCATCATGGATTAGCTACAATCAACAGATCCAGGAGTTGTATGGTTTGAGACAAAGGAATCAGCTGGCACATCCTCTTCTTGAGCACTCAGGACAGGGGACAGGGAAGATCATTCATTCTGGAAGGGGGACAATGGTTTATGGTGAGGTGACCCTGCCATGCCAGCATTACTCAGCAGTGCAGTTGTAGTGTCACATTGTTCCTCCCCAGATATAATTACAAGGACGTGTGACAGCATGGCCACACTCTAGGATTGTCCACAGCTTTATCCCTGAACCATTTATGTTGGGAAAGACCTCTGAGATCATCGAGTCCAACCATTAACCCAGCACTGCCAAGGCCACCACTAAAAAATGTCCCCAAGTGCCACAACTACACGGCTTTAAAACCCCTCCAGGGATGGTGAAGCCTTGGGCAGCCTGTTCCAATGCTTGATAACCCTTCTGGTGAAGAAATTGTCCCTAATATCCAACCTAAATCTGGCACAACCTGAGGCCATTTGCTCTTGTTCAATTACTTGTTACTGAGAAGAGAACAACCCCCACCTGGCTACAACCTCTTTTCAGGTAGTTGCAGATAAGATACTCCAAATCCTCCTTTCCTCCAGGCTGAACAATCCCAGCTCCCTCAGCTGCTCCTGTTCTCTAGCACATGGGATGTTCTACCACGAGAAACAAGTTCTACCACTAAGCCTTATGAAAGCACACAGCAGACCCAGCTCTGACCACAAGCAGATGAAGCCTTTGGCCAAAATGACAAAAACTAGCCCTGGTTTTGTCCTTTAGCACAAGCTGGCAGCCTTGAGAGTCGTCATCTTTGCAAAGGAAGCAGAATAAAGGGATGGCACTTAGAGGAGAGCAATGGAAAGAGCAAATAAATGCTTTTGGAGACAAAGATCTACATGAAGAAAGATGAAGAGCGCTGCACCCTGAGAAAAGGCAAGTGCAGGGGGAAATACAGGACATGCCAATAGAGATGTGAAGGGCTGTTATAAAGAGGGAAGGGATCAATTCTTCTCATTACTCAACACTGACAGAGCAGCAGTGACGTAAGTTAAAGAAGCAGCAGAAGGAAAAAATCACTTTATAATTCAGAAACAGCTCCCAGAAGGAGCTCTGGAAAGGGAGAAAGTTGGTGGACTCAACATAATGGATGTTTCTTCACATGCCAGCAGTTCTGCTGCAGGCAAATCACAGTGCAGGGATGTACTTTATTTATTTTCTCGTGCTTTATCACTCCTCTAACTTGGATTCACAGAATCACAGAACTGTGGAATGGTTCAGATTGGAAGGGACCTTCAAGATCATCTCGTTCCAATCCCCTGCCATGAGCAGGGACACCTTCCACTGGACCAGGTTGCTCAGAGCTCCATCCAACCTGGCCTTGAACACTTTTTAAGAACATAAACACTATTCCTCCTAAAAGTAAGAGTGTTGTCCCAATTTTAGGGACACTTTCAGAGAACGTCCCTTTAACTCAATGCCCAAAGGAGCCCAAACTCAAAACCAAGACAGGAAACCTGGAACTAGAAAAGAGGGAGCACTCTGCATGTTCTTCTCATGCCCAGGCAACACAGAACAGGATTTCTCCACACCTGATGTGATTTCTATTTTCCCCAAAAGATGATTCTTCTCTCAGTTGCTGCATTATAAATCACAGAACCAGGGGAACAGGAAATTAAATGTCTCTGAACTGCCCTGAGCAACCTGGTCCAGTGGAAGGTGTCCCTGCCCATGGCAGGGGGTTTGGAATGAGATGATCCTTAAGGTCCTTTCCAACCCAAACCATTCCATGATGAATCTGTGACAAATGAGACAGGGAGGTGATGAGGCAGCTGTGGACAAACTGCTTGATTATTCACTTGATTATTCCCTAATTAGGGAAGGTGTTCTCTGACAGTCCCAGCAAGGACCTGCAGGACTCGGGTATCATCCCCAGGTAAGGGGGGATTTCAAACTCCTTGAACCATGAGGACAACACTCTCCTGAGGAACAGTCTCCTTCATAAAACCAGCCAGGCATGGAAATGCTGACTCACACTGGTGCTGGAATTACAATACAGGTGGAAAGCTTGATATCTAAGATGCCCCGAAATGACTTTGAGCCAAGGAAAAGGGCAAATCCTTTAGATGGGAGATTTGACACAATTTCTAATGATTTAAGAGGGATGATGATGAGAAGGGTCATGAGGACTCTCTGACATTGACTCCTGGGTGGGATGCCTGCCTGTACCAGGGCCTCAGTTTTGGGCCAGTCTCTTCCCTGTGGTCAGAATTTGAGTCCAGACATTTCATAGAATGATGGAACGGTTTGGGTTGGAAGGGACCTTAAAGATCATCTCATTCCAAAGCCCTGCTATGAGCAGGGACACCTTCCACTATCCCAGATTGCTTAGAGCCCCACCCAACCTAGCCTTGAACACTTCCAGGGATGGAACAACAACAACTTCCATCCATCCATCCATCCATCCATCCATCCATCCATCCACCCACCCATCCATCAGCAGTCCCTGTGTTCTGCAGTGGATCTCCTCATTCACAGCAAATACCAAGACATGCCATGACTCTGCCATATGTTTTCCACCTCAGATAAAATATCTTTCACAGGTAGCAAAGACAAATTAATTATAAGTCAATATTTCACAGGCTGAGGGGAACCTTACAGGCAACAATGAACAGAAGGAAATGTGGGAACAGAGGTCTTCCAATGGCAAAATCTGCCCAGCATCTCCTTCAGCACAACCTAAAGGGAAAGGTGTTTTTAACCTACACCTGTCAAGTCTGGCTAATCCTTAACAAGTCAGAGACATCCAAAACTTTCCTGTTTCATTCCCCAAGTCAAGAAATTACACAATTTCCAGTGCAGATTTTTTCACTTCTGTCACCTTTTCATCATTCCCTTTTTATCATTCCCCAAGTCAAGACACTGCACAGTTGCCAGTGCAAATTTTTTTCCCTTCTGCTCTCCCATCAGTGGTTTACTCTGTTTTCCCTCAGTTCCACATCCCCTTCTCTGTCCCCTTCTCTCTTAGATTCAGATATTACCACAAACAGTTGTTCAAGACTTCTATGATTTCCAAAAGCCAAGAAAAAACAGGCAAAAGCATCTATTTTTCATGCCATGCTCTCCCAGAACAAGCCTCTGGAAGCTACAGGAGGTAAACTGGAGAGGGAATGAGCAACCCCAGCAGGAACAAGGCAGGAACATCCTTGATATGTTCCCTACCAAACAACTATGGCTCATTCCAGGTCAGGGAGGAGCCAGGAATTCTCCTGGCATATGATTCACATGACAAGACTCGAAAAGGGAATGACAAAGCCTCTCCAAGGTCTGGAAGGATGAAGGGCAGCAGAATGGTGGCAGCAGCACGAAGCATCATCAGGGCTTTACCTTTTTGAGAAACAATAGATTTGAGGGAGGAAAAACAGCAACAGTTCAGCTGCAGAATGAAGTGGATGACAAAGGGAGATGAGGCTGAGGGAACTAATCCATGGATTGCTCAGTGGTCCCTTTGCAAGGACAAGAGCATGGGACACTTGAGGACAGACCACAAAACTAGTGGTGAAACCTGTCATCTGAGGTATTTACTTGCTGGGAAACAAAAGACATGTCCTCTCCCAAGAGCCCTCCAATTTCTATCCATCCACTTAAATTAGAAAAGCAGGATGAACAGGAGATCTGGCTTTCATATCCCTTTTTTTTTGGTCTGATTTGGAGATGAATCAGAATATGTGATTTATCACAGACTGATGTCAGACAGTGCAGGAGAAGGATTTGAGACTATTTAACTTTTAAAATGAATTTACTATGAACAGAAAGCCTCTCCTATTTAACAGTCTAATTCATTAATAGTAAATCTGCTGTTTTAGCTCCTCTGTAGTCTCAGGAATTCAAAATTCAGCGACCTGCTAATTCCAGACTCGTGGTACACATGCCTGGACTAATTCCATCTCCCCATCTCAGCTGAGTACTGTTGCAAAAGGTGAGTAAATGACTTTAGCAACAAAAAATAAATGAGATTTTGTTTAGTTTTTCATTTCACAGAGAAAATCACAGAGTCATAGAATGGTGTGGTTTGGAAGAGGTCTTAAGGATCATCTCATTCCAATCCCCTGCCATGGGCAGGACACCTCCCACTGGACCAGGTTGCTCTTGTGCTTTGATTTTCTTTTATTTTTCTGCATTTTGAGATTTGACACTCAGCTGCCTCTTTTTGTTTAGATTAATTAAAAGTAGGAGTTTCCAAACTGCAAGTGATCTAAGACCGTTTCTTTCACACATTTTACATACATTATTCTAGACACCGAAATCAAAGTAACAGCATCACTTGGATATGATGCAGATAATGCAATTTCCAAAAGGGAAGGAAGAAAGACAAACCTTCCCTCATCACTCTCCCTTCAACCTTAACCTTAGGGAAAAAAGCCAACTATATAAATAGCAACAATTTCTCCAGCAGAACAAAGCTCTGGCATTCTTTTCCTTTTTTTTTTTTTTTCTTTTTAAACTAACTCCAGGGGCATCTAAGAAGAGATTTAACAGCTTTTGACTTTTGACTTTTGTAACTCAGAGCTATGAAACGCTTTAAGAGTTTGAGAATTAATTCCAACTGCTTTTAGGGGTCCAAAAGAGGCAGTCAACACTTATCAAATCAGACCTGCAGCCCTATGAGGTATCAAACTTAACTTGAGCATTTCATAGGAGCAAAAAAACCCAATATTTAGAAGTGATTCACCAACTTAAACCATTCTCAATGCTCTGCAGCCTCTGGAGTAAAACACTCATGAAGATGCTTAAGCGGTTGACAGAGCTGGGTTTTGAGGTCCCTGTCTAGCCCTAAAATTACTGGGAATCACATCTTTAAGTCTGCAACTAAATTCAGTGGAAGAATTGAACATATGCACGGCTTGCAATAAATGCAGAGTCCCTTTGTCTTCCATGGGCTGCTCACATGCTCAAATCTAAGCATGTCATAAAGGATTTTCCAGGATCCAGCCCATCAGCTCCAGGGATGTTGCAGGAGGAGCCCTACACTACTCGTGGCCCACAGAATGAGGTCAGGGAGAGCTGGGGAATGTGGGGAGGGTGGGCAGGGACACGGGGAGAGAGAAAACAAACAAGGGCTGGTGAGTGCAGGGAAATGGAAGAGGGAAATAAAACAAACTAAAAGAAAAAAAAAATCAATTAAAAGAAGGAAAAACAAAAAAAAAAGAAAGTGGAAAGAAAGAAAGAAAAGGAGTTGAAATTAGAGGAACTAACATGGCGTTACTGGTGGCTGTGGCCGAAACTTCAGCAGAAGAAACTACTCCACACTTGGAACATTTGAGCGTCATCCCGTAAAGGGGCACTGCCATCTGACTGCAATTAAAACCAAAAGACTGAAACAAAACAAAACACTTTGCTCATGAGCACAAACGTAGAAAGGAAAGGGAAATAGAGAAGCCAAAAGAAAGAGAGGAAGGAAGGAAGGAGAAATAGGGAACCAACCAACCATACCCAGTTCGGGAAGAGAAATGAAAGACAGGCAGGAATAAAACTCTCTCATCTGTACCAATCCAGATGCGGGAAATGGGGGGGAAAATGTGCAGTTCAGAGACTGTTGGTGCCGCTGGAGAGGGTGGAACTGTGTTGGTTTATGTTTGCCCAGTTTCAGGGTGTCTCTCTCTGGCACCCAGGGAAGAGAAACCAGTACTGCTCTCCCAGTCTCCACCTCCTTCTTTTCGATTGAGTTTTAATTTTTTTTAATTTTTTTTTTTTTTTTTGAGAAATTGTTCTTTTCCCTCCTGGCCTTTTTGCTCCAAAACAAAAAAGGTGGCAGGGTTGTGCAGTAGAAGGCAAGAAGTAGGGCTGTGGGGACTGTGCCTGCTTATATTCTTTCCTACAGCAATGCAAGGGATAAATCACGTATTTTCTCTGATTGGGATCTCCCCATGGTACCAGGAGAGAGGCCACTCTTTGGCTGCTCCATCTGTGAGGAAGGACAATGCAAAGGGGACTCTTTGTGTCCTGGGAGTTAAGCATGAACTTGGGTGCTTTGTAAGACCACCAACCTGCCCTGGAAGGAACTGGACTGGCTGAATACTTCTGAGACATTTCTTCTCTCATATCTTGTTTTGCAGATGAAAACATGTTTGGGATGAACCCTGAGACTACTCCACGCCTGTTGCTCCCAGTTTTTCTGCGTGGGATCAACCAGGCCATTGTGGGCTGCTGGGATAAGGGGCTGCAGGGATCTGCTAAGGGGAGTAAACTCATGATTTTTGGGAGCTGATCTGTGTGAACCCACCCAGCTGACAAGCCAGCTCTTCTCCAGGAGCCTGGAAGCCACATGAGCTTGGCACTGGCCCTGATTCTTCCCAGAATTTACTAAGTGTGTGCACTCTCTGATCTGCACAGGTGGGCATCCACATCAGATCTGGCTTAAAAAAATGGGAAGGAGCCTGCAAACCATCCCCCAGACCTCCCTGCAGTGCCTGACATCAGGGAAGGCACGAAATCACTGCCAGAGGACGGTGGGTGCGTCACCCTTGGCTGAGGGTGGTGCAGCTGGTGAGGGGTCATATTTGCACCAACCACGAGGGGTTTGACAGCCCTGCCCTGACCAGGAGAGAGATCAGGCAACTTGACAGATCACTTAACTTTTATGGCTCTGTCTTCAGTCTCAGGGCAAAAAAACATCCCCATGAACACCAACACGGTATCGTCAGCGGGCCCAGTGGCCCACTATCAAGTGGCTATTGATTGGTCTTTTAATTAATTAGTGACATAAGCCATTGCTCCATTCCAAAATAATGACTAAGGTATCCCACAGAAATTTTCAGCCTTCAGACACAGAGGAAATTAGCTCCTGTGTCCAGAGATAAATATCTTCCAGGAAGGATGCTGTAAATCCAGTGGCTGAACCAAAGGTAAAGTGGGTCTTGAGAGGCATTAAGTGCACGACCCTTAAAAAAAAAAAATACAGCTTATCCCCAAATCTATAAGCCACAAAGAATAGATAAGCAGAGAGACAGAGAGAGGCAGAGATAGGCAGCAAAAAGAAAAAGTAGATTGATTTGAGGAATTTGATGGAAAACTGTACCAGAAAAAACATGAATGACACTGAACCACAAAGAACTGGCCAAAAGACCAACTGTAACACACAACTGTAGCTGCTGTTGGGTGTACTTATGCAGAAAGTTGTAAGCAGTAGGCACAGATGTGGATACATTTACATTCTAATTTGTTCTGGTTGGGGGCAGGAGGTTGTTAATATATTGAATTTCCGTAGCAGGTTTGTATTGGCGCCTGCACGTATGAAAGGGTAGCTAATGAAATAATCACAGGGAATGAGGCATCCATTTAATTCAGCTTTTGCTGCTTCCTAAATATCCACAACCAGCTCCCAGACTCATCTGGTGTGTTCACTGGAGCCTGGACTTTTCTCCCTTTTATTGAGCCGTGCTTTACACCACACGCAGCCCAAAGAGCAGGAGTGCTGCTTCCAACACGAACCATTCCCAGATGAAGGGCAATCCAAATCCCTTCCTGTTTTAATGGAGTTATTATCTCTCCAATTACTTTCTTCTCTATGCACTGACAGCCCAGCTCTGTTACACCCCACCAGGACAGTCGTACAGGGAATATTTCACACAAAGGATGGGGGCAAACTTTCTTGAGTCGTTTCTATAATCAACAGGAAGATAAAAGAAGTAAAGGTCCTCCAAGGGGCAAGTTGGAACAACTAAACCAGGCTCTCGTCTCTCTCCAGCAGTTACAGAGGAAGCCTAGAGAGATTAAACTCAGCAGGCTAAAATTAGCCCTGGTGAATATACCCTATAGTCTCATTCTTCCTCCCTGGCTGCGTTAGCACACAAATGCTTCTGGAATGAACGCTGCCTGAATAAATTTCAAACTCATTTTAAAGGCTCCTGACATTAAGACATCCATTTTTAGTAGCACTCCCATCAGCAGAGCTCAAAGACTTGGCCACCAACGGAGACCCTTCTGCTGGGAGGTGCCTGGATGGTTTTCTCCTGTTCCTGGACAGGTGGTGGGGCAGTTGTGTGTCTTCCTCCAGCTCTCCAGGCAATCCCACCCAACTCTCCCCAGCCTGGCTTTGTGATTCATCTACGAAGCCGTTGCCATTAGGAAGTCAAGGTTTTCTGACAGATGTGACAACCCTAATCACAGCAATTTCCTCTGCAAAGTACAGGGCAAAACCTATCGTGTCTCAGGTATTATTTCATGAGAACTGTTAATTCTGAGGTATTTGAGTGCCAACCAATCTGTGGAGTGTGTGCTGGGCTCTTCTTAGTATCCAACAGCTCTTTATTTTCCCCTATTCTGGGTTTTTTTCCCCTTTTTTATCGTTTTTGCAACACTGAACCATACTTCTTGCCTCTGCTAAAGGAAACACAACGTTTGTTTGTACCATCTCCTCAGATCCAAACATCTCCAAGGCCATTGCTCGTTCTGATTCTCTTCAGATCTACCTTCCAACACGGTTCCCAAGCCCAGGCCAGAAGCAGAATAACTTCTACAAAGTTAACTAAGGGAAAAGGGGCACCAGGGCTCTCAAAAGTGCTCCCACACTCTCAGCAGGTGCACTTGGGAAAGGAGAACAAAACCATTGAGCACAGAGAAGGCTTAAAAGTGCTGCACACACACACACGGACACGAAAGAGGGGGGAAAAAAGAGAAAAGAAAGAAAAAACAAAGAACATCAGAAAAAAAAAGACTTTTTTTTTGTTGTTGTTGTTGTTGCTTTGCAGCTTTTGTTTTTAAAGAACAACTCTGTGATCAATAACCAGCTGCTGTGTATTAAATAAGGTCGTTTTCTGAGCAGTCTGGATTAGGGAGGGAGGGGCTGAGCGACAGCAACTCTCTGCTTTGCTAATCCAATAAAGCATTTATTGCAGGGCTGACTTTCAAGTGCAATTACCTTGCTGCAGACTCTGCCTGCAGTCTGGGTATTTTCTTGAGTTCTCTCTTTGTGAAGGAGGCATCACCCACAATAAAGCACTTGCTTCTTGCAGCTGCTTAAAGCAAAGCACCAAGGTCACTTCTTCACGTGCTTTTCAACCCAGCAGCAACTGATACCTCTGATCATCCAAATGTGTTAAATCTCCTTTTATTATCATGACCGTGGAAGATTTCTGTGTTTCTCATAGAAATCAGGACCTTTGACAGGTTCCTGTGTTCCTTACAGAAATCATAAAAACTGGAAAAGACCTCCAAGATCATCAAGTCCAACCTTCAACCAACCACCACCATTCCCACTAAACCAAAGTTCCAAGAGCACTCCAAGGGATGGTGACTCCACCACTTCTCTGGACAGCCTTTTCCAATGATTCACAACCCTCTCAGTGAAGAAATTTTTCCTAATATCCAACCTGAATATCCTCTGGTGCAATTTGGGGCCGTTTCCCCTTGTCCTGCCACTTGTTACCTGGGACAAGAGGCCGACCCCCACCTCACCACAATCTTTTTTCAGGGAGTTGTAGAGTGATAAGGTCCCCCTCGAGCCTCCTTTTTTTCAGACTAAACACCCCCAGCTCCCTCATCTGCTCCTCACAGGACTTGTGCTCCAGACCCCTCAGCTGCTCCATTGCCCTTCTCTGGACATGCCCCATCACCTCGAGGTCTTTCCTGCAGCGAGGGGCCCAAAACTGAACACAGGATTTCAGGGGCTGATGAGAGTTTGCTTCTACCCTCAGTTTTGCTGCCACCACTCAATTAAAAACCACTTCTACCACAACTACTCAATAGTGCTGTGACAGGAATATTGAGCCTCATCTGTGTTATCTGCTGCCACCCTCTGAGACTCGATGGAGACCGTTCTCCTTCCACTTTAGTAGGCAGGATATATCCTTTATCTTCTCCTCCAGCCTCCAAAGGTTTTACATTCTGGTTGTAGCTGTGGTAAAGAGACACCACAACACCCCTTGCTCTCCTCATCTCTTTGGAAACAACTTCTTCCTTCAAGAATACAAGTGATAAAGAACACAATGATAAATCCAATGGATACATGAAGATCACACATCCCTGCCTTTCCTGTCTGCAGGTAAGGACACAGTTTCTCTGCAACAGGAAGCCAAGCAAGGCAGTGGCAAATAACACACGTCAGCCAGGCTGACCTGAGCATTTGATGTGACTCAGAGTGTCACTGTGCCATTTCTGTCCCTGGCCTGGAGCACAGCTCAGGGGTAAAGTCTGAGCAGGCCAAAAACTCATTTCTAGAAAAGAAGATGAAAGGGGAACCAACATTCCCACCCTGCTGGGAATGCTGACAGTGGCAAAATACCCACTGTCAACAGAGTTTGGAAGGAACCCATGAGAGAGCCCTGCCCCAGCCAACCCCCAGCGGCACCAGGGGGATGAGGACTCTGGAGGCAGCTCTTGGATTTATACTACAAAGAGACCCAGGTAACACAAGCCCCAGGCTTTGGTGTGGAGGCCGTGGAGAAGATCAAGGACCTCAGGTGGTAGCAGATTTTTTTTTCCTGCAGAAGAGGTTCCTAACTTACCTCCTCTTTACATGTGCACCCATCTCCTGACCTGTTCATTGCTAGGCCTCCAAAAGCCTTCCCTTAAAAGTATCACATCCCTTTGCTGTCCCTCAGCCACCTGCCAGCCACTGGACATGAGTTCTCTGTCACACAGCCCGTGCCACGTGCCCCACTCAGCACTGGTGAGTCCCTCTCTGATCCAGCTGCTGTTCCCAGGAGTCAGTGACAAGAGTCACTTTGCTCTCCTTAATTTTTGGGAGGATACATCAGCCTGGGCTGAAGCCATTTCAACAAAGAGATGAACTTTTGTCCTTCCTCCACAGCAACCCAGTGCTGCTCCTTGGATTTTTTTGTCCCTGCTGCACTGAACGACACAGCAAAGAGATTAAATCAAGTGTGGGTTTTTTTCTTTCATTTTGTTTAAATCTGTTTTTGCTTTTTGTTTCCATCTCCGATCTCTTTTTCTTTTTGCACTCCTGGCCTGGTTATTGATCACAACCTTGGGTGTTTTTGGTTTTGATTGTCACTCTTTACTTAGATGTATTGATAAGGCATACCCTGCCCGTTCCTTCAGTTTCTTATCTGTTATTCCATCTTTGGATACAAGTTTGTTAAAAACCAGAATGCCAATAACCATGTTCACCTGTCAAAAGAGAAACAACACACAGTTTTGTTCTCATGTGGCTCAGCTCAAACTTGGTAGCACAGAAGGCAAAAACCCCCCAACATCTGGCAAACGAAGTTATTCCCGTTTTTCCCCAAATCAGGTCACACTTCTGCAGGCCACCACCCCCTCTGTCCCCTCTCCACCCTGTCCCACCTTCCCTGGCCATGCAGCAGGGAGTTCAGGAGAGCAGAATGCAGCTGGCAACAGATAAGAGAGGTCTTGGAATCACAGAATCATTAAGGTTGGAAAAAGTCCCCAAGATCACCGAGTCCAACCATGAACCACATCTCCAGGAACCAGGACAAATTTGTAAACTGCCCAGATTTACAAGTCTGAGCAAGAAGAATTGCAGATGGCCCAGCACACAGGTCAGCCATCCAGTCATTTCCCAAAAAATCAGTGGGCAGGACAACTCCATGCAGTCCTTTGGTCTGTTTTTTTTAGGGTGAGAGTGTGGATGTCTGTATCAACCAGGCATAAATATTCACAGTGAAACACAGAGCTGAGGTCCTGCAAAGTGATCCCAAACTCCTCACTGTGCCCTTCCAAATGCATCCACTGCTGCCAGCTGCATCTGCTCCACAAACCTCATCCAAACATTAGTGACACATGAGCACCACCCCCCTCGTGGAGGCAAAGAAATGGTGGAAAAAAATGACACTCTCCTGGTTTTGCTGTCAGGGAAACATCTGGTGCTGTAGAACGACGTGGTTGATGCTGTTTTGCACGTGGGGCTTGCAGGGAAATGTTTTCAGGCCAAATTCAGGGACGTGTAACATCACATGTGCACCGAGGTGAGTTTAACAGAGGTGGTGCTGAGGGACACCTTGTGCAGCACCTGGCCCCAAAGGCAGGGAGATGTCTGCTCTGCCTAAATGCCTAAAGCAGCCTCAGAAAAATGAGCAAAATTCCTGCATTTGGATTGCTGGTTTGAGCAGGGCATGACCCAGCTCGCTGCTGTGGAGCCCACAGCTGGGAATCAATGGAAAAGCTCAGAAATAGCAGTTATTTTCGTTTGCATCAGCTGCTGGGTCAGGGCACTGCTTCCCACAGCTGTGAGCCCATTTCTAGAGCTCACCACGGTATTGATTTAGAGCAACAGCACTGGCAAGTCAGACACAGCAGTGCAGCCAAGGATCAGCAGGAAATCAAACCCCAGTTATGTGCTTGGAGACAGAGGGAGCACTTGGAATTCACTGATCCTTCTTCTCTGTGCTGGAGGCTGGGGAGTGCAAGAGAGACTTTTCCTTAAGGGGGAAAAGATGGGGTTGAAGTGTGGCTGGATCTCTCCCCTAGGAAAGATGTGTATCCTCATCCTTCTGGAGCAGGGGAGGTGACAAAGAGCAGCTCTGCAATGGTTTTAATAATTAAAAGCTATTTTTAGCCACATTGCTGTTTTAGCCACACACATTTAGCACACTGATCATTGTGATCAACACCCTGCTCTGATCCTGGCTCCAGTTTTCCTAAGTTAGGGATAATTCTTCTAAACACTGAATTCTTCTTCACTCTTAATGACATGCAGAGCAGCTTTACTTCTTTATCTCTGAGATAATATCCAGAAGCAAAGACTCAAGTCTGAGATTCCTTGAGACAACCACGACCTGGCCACTGCTGACTCTGTCCTGTCACCATGAGCCTCTCCCTGCCTTCAACCTGCCCCAAATCATCCCCAGGCTGGGTGAGCAAAACTGCTTCCCACAGCTCTGCCTGTCGGGTTGTTGGGATTTTTAAGAATAAAGGTCAGATCTCTGCAGCCATTCAGTGCCAGTGGATTGACTGCAAGTTGTGAACGCTGCTGAAGCTGCAGGCCAACCATCTTAAGAGTATTAAATTGAAGTAAAGGTATTCTCCAAACCAAAAGCCTTTTTCCAGTGTGGAGAATAATAAGGGAGGGTGTGGAGGAAGAAGGTTGCTGTGTATTACCATAGGTAATAGAGAAATCCTGCTGGTGGGAGAACTGAGTGCAGAGATGCTTGAATGGCTTGGGAGGAGTGAGAACAAAAGTAGCCTGGCCAGGGCTGAGGCTGTCCCAGCTGTCTCTCCAAGCCAAGTCAGCTCTGTGCAAACTCACTTGGGCATCTATATATTGAATTTTGGGTGAGAAAAAGCTCAGGCTCAGAGTCAAATCCCACCCTGATCTGTGCAAGGTGTCACACGAGCAGCTGTATTTTCTCTGGAGCAAACCTGTCCTGAGAGCAGCGGAGCTGCCCATCCCCTGCACAGCCCTGCAGGAGCCTGACTGCCCTTCTGTTGAACCAGGTGTACTCACTGCCCTGGTCATCCTGTCCCTGGTCCTTCTGGGATGTCCTTCTGTCACTGGCATGGCCAACCTGAACTCAAGGCCCAGCACAAGGAGAACACACACACAGCTGTCCAGCCTCGTGGACTGTGTGTTCCACTTCTGGCCCTGCCAGAGGTCACAGTGTGAATCTGAGTGGCCAGTTGAGCTCATCTCTTTGCAGGTTCCCATTTATAAAAAGGCTTTAAATGCTTCTTTTTCTCTTTCTCCTTCCCCTGGCTCCTGGGTATCTACCCCACTTGGGCAGTGTTCATTCATCACTTGAGCCAGCAGTGAGCCAGGAGGTCTAAACTGGGTGTGTATGCTCTGTCATGGTGCTGCTCAGGGACAGACACCCCCAGAGATGATTCACCACTTCCTAATATCAGCTGCACGAGCCACCCTTTGCATATGTTGACCCCTCTTTAAGGACATCTCCATTTCCTGCTTTATGGTGAGTGAAAACTGAGGTGCCAAAGGGAAGGAGGCTCCTGGGTTTTAATCACACTTTAAAAATGCAAAGGAAAAATGAAGGATTACTTCCCTTGTTGTTGGCACAACAAAAGCAAGATGCCTTGAGGCAGCTGAGTGACTCCCTCTTCTCTGGGCACTACCAAAGCTTCCTCCCTCCTAATCACTGTATCACAATCCTACACTAAAGAAAGACCTTAACTGAAACTAGTTTTGATTTATTACAGAGGAGGGGCAGCTACTGGCTCACCTCTTTGTCATGCTGATCAAAGGATGGCACCAAGGTGGTTTGATGTGCAATGACAGCAGTGAGAACAGAGGCAGCAGGAGCTTTTGTGGAGTTATTCTCCTATAAGCGCCTGCTTCAGGGCATTTAACCCCCCCCCAGGCACTGCAGGAAACAAAAGCCTGACCCAAAAAAGGAACTATGAGTGTCAACAACCCCATTCCTGTGGGACACTTGAGCCTCAGAGGACACACAGCTCCTCCACTGCATAAAACACTGGGCTGGAGAGAAACCAGGCTGTCACCTAATGTGAGGGGGCTCAAATGGGGATTTAAACCCATCTGAAATTGCTGCAGGAGGGATTTCCTGGAGGACCAGCAATTCTCAAGAGTCTTTCAACCCTGACAGTCAAGATTTCTCATGGTCAGAGAGGCTTCAACAGCAGGGAAGCTTGAGGAAAGGAATGTCAGCTCTTGAGTGGCACCTTAAACTCAAATAACCGGCCAAGGCTGGTGTTGGTGCTGTGTTGGAGCCAAGGGTGAAGGGACAGTAGGACACACTCCCACCATGCAGGAGCTGGTGGGACAGAATTTAGGAATGTTTACTTTAAGCTTGCCATTCCTTCTGAATTAAAAGCAAACATGGCACTTTTAGGATAACTAAGAACCCCCCCCAGCACTGATTTGAAGATCTCCAATTCACCTGCAAACAAGGAAGCTGCTCCCACATACTGGCCAGCTGGGACAGACCAGGAATAAATGCTGGCTGGGAGGGCACAGCCTGGTCTGGGAGCAACCAGGGACAGCAGTTTCTGAAGGAGTTCATGTCAGAGTTTTCCACCATCATCCTGCACTTCCATCCAGACAGGGCAAAACCAAGGAAAAGCATTAATCAGGTGTTAGGGGACACCAGTGAGGACAGAGGTGAAAGGCTGAGAGCTTGAGGCACATTATATCCCAGAATCAAACCCATCCCAAACTGTTGGCTTCTAACACTTTGCTCCTTATTCCTGCGAGTGGAAATAAAGAGGGGGCATTCTTGGGTTGAAAGAACAAGGAGAGTGGCATAAGACAAAGAGGAAAATAAAAAAAAGCTTTCAGCCAAGCTTAAATACCAAAACGACAGCAGCCGCCGGTCCCACGAAGGCATAGAGGAGCCCTCCCTCCAACGACAGCCAGCAGCTGGAAAATGAAGAGAGAAAAGGAAATTACCCCGGGGGCAAACAACCCTGACAGGCACATGTTTGCTTCTTCCCTTTGCTGGCAGAGTTCATCCTGGGAGGTGATCCCCCATGGCAAAAAAAAACCAACAAAAAACAAAAACCAAAAAAACCCTCAGACTTTGCAAAGAGCAAGTTTTGCTTCCCATTTCTCCCGAACTTGCACAAAGGCTCATTTCCCCGAGGACCTGCCTGCAGATGGCATTTGACAGGGGAATGCATGAAAAATTAAGGATGGTGCTCTGTTTCAGGTCAGGTCCTGGGAGCAGCTGCATCATTTTGCTGGCAAGATGATGCTCTTGTCCTGCTCACTCAGGCGAAGGAGTAGAAAGGGTGGGAACTGTCCCTTGCTCCTTTGCTAACCACTATTTCTGCTGGGAGCTCAGGTCCAGGAGTGCAGGACATTTCTTCCTCTGGATTCTCCCTTTGAGCTTCCTTGGGGAAATCCTACAACACAGCAGCAAGGTGGGAATTCACAGTACTCCTGAAGTGAAATCTCCTGTGGAATTCCACTATGGAATGAGTTCAATGGGAGGGGTGTGGTGCCTCCTCTGGAAATAACCACATAACCTGATGAGGACTTCCTCTTTCTTCAGTGACCACGTGTGGAATTCAGGCTCCTAAACAGCCTAGCACAGAGCCAGGCACCCTTGGTGACATTTCTAGTCAGTAGAGATCCAACCAGAGGAGTCCAGGATGATTCTGTGAGGCACCTTTACCTACTCAGGTGAATCACATCCTGAACTTCATTGACTGCACCAGAACTTCCTCATCCAAATGAACCTGTCACATGTGGAGACATCACTGGGGAGATCATAGAATCATGGAATGCTTTGGGTTGGAAGGGACCTTAAAGATCATCTTGTTCCACCCCCCTGCCATGGGCAGGGACACCTTCCACACTATGCCAGGTTGCTCCAAGCCCCATCCAACCTGGCCTTGGACACTTCCAGGGATGGGGCAGCCTCAGATTCTCTGGCCAGCCATGAAGAAGAATTCAAGATGGGCCCCTGATTAAGCCAATTACTGGAACTCCTTTGTGCTGCTCAACAGGGGTTCTCCTGATGACCTGCAATGCCCCTCCATGCTCTGGGCAAGTACTGCTGGCACTGGCAGGAGTGGGATGGATTGAGGTTCCCCTCCTCCAACAACTTTAGTTTAAAGCCCTCATCACTAACTGGGGTGCAGAATAAATCCCATCTCTGAGGAAACTAGTATGAACATGCTCCTGGTGTCCCCACAGAGACTTTCAATCACACACAGGTCTCACTGTACCTCAACATCCCCAAAATGACAAACTCGGCGTGAAAGAACAGCAGGAGAAATCTCACTCCCCTCCCATCCCAAAGCTGAGCATCACAGAGTGGGCAGCCAACAGGGATTAGGACAAGGGGGAATGGCTTCAAACTGAAGGAGAGTAGATTTAGACTGGATATCAGGAAGAAATTCTTCCCTGGGAGGGTGGGGAGGCCCTGGCACAGGATGCCCAGAGAAGCTGTGTCTTCCCCATCCCTGGAAGTGTCCAAAGCCAGGCCGGATGGGGCTTGGAGCAACCTGGGCTAGTGGAAGGTGTCCCTGCCCATGGCAGGGGGGTAGACCTGGATATCTTTATAGTCCCTTCCAACCCAAGCCATTCCTTGGTCCTTTGTTTTTAAGGTTTGACTGTAAAGTCAGGAAAGAAACACTTCTTCACTGTGAGGGTGACAGAGCACTGCCAAAGCATGAGCAGAGGAATTGTGAAGTCTCCATCCTTGGAGACATTCAAAAGCCATCTGGGCACGTTCCTGGGGCAGCCAGTTCCAGGTGACCCTTCCTGAGCAGCTGGTTGGCCCAAAAGACTCCAGAGAACCCACCTCAACAAGTCTGTGACTCTGCAACAGCCACAGTTACAGCAGCACAGGAGCTGAAATTCCCACTTTTGTGGGGGATGCAGCAATTCAGGGCATGGCCACATAAACTTGGCACTTCAGGGCGAGGGAAGATGGGAATTTACACTGTGTCAGCAACCCCATGGAAAGTTTGCACGCTCTGACAAGGCAGAACCCTGGAGAAAATGTGTGACAAAGTAATCCTGTTTCAGCAGGAAAGCACCATAGATTTACCACAGGAGAAGAGCAGGAAACCACAATGGAGAGAAGACTTTCTCCAAGCTCTTAACCCAGCTCACCCTGCAGTAATTCAGTGACATGCCCCTGCTCTCAGCAAGATGGTTTCATTCTGCATCAGAAGCAAACTGATGCTCCCAGGGAAAAAAAGCCTTGCTGGAAACATTTCAATTTTGTTGATCAGACTCATATGTTTTTCTGCATTAATTCTGATTTGCAAAAAAAAAAAAGTTATTTTTTTTCACCCTAAAACAGAGAAAATTTGTGAAAAGGCACTAAAAAAGAAAAAAGTATTTCAAATTGAGAGCTGAAAGAAGGACATTCTAGTTTTCACCGAGCTCTGTGTCTTGTTTATGTCTAAATTAAACCTGTAATGTGTTAATTTAATCAGTTCTGATTTCTTCCTGATAGCAACTTGCTCTGTCACAAACTGTCTGAGCTGCTGTAATAATAAAATGAATAATCAGCAGAGGAGAAAGGGAATAAAAATGAAGCTTTGGAGGGCTGCAATAACTGGAGTTCTCCCTAAATACAAGAAGAGGGCTCCTAAATCCCAGACTTTTTCCTCCAATGCTTCATCCTAATTTTGAGATGGGGTTTTTCTCAGGGTCTCTTCCAGCTGATGGTTTAGATGAAGAAAGGAGGTGACATCCTGCACTGGAATTAGTGATGAGGACTCTGTGCAAGGAGGGCTCTCACTCCTGTGGGGTCTCTGGCAGCTCCTGTTCCCCTCTGAGCACCAGGATTTGGGAAGGTGACTTCCCCCTGGTCCTTATCCCTTCTGACTGCCCGACCTCCATCCCACAGTGCTTAATCCAAGCGTTTCCAAGGCTGCCAGAGGTGCTGGATAACACCAAGAGAAAGGAAAGGGTGAAGGGATATCTGAGAAGGGGTACCGACAGCAAATCCCAGCAACACATCAGGGCAGTGGAGATGCTTTTAGCCTACAAGAAATATTTGCATTTCACTAAGAGTATTTTCCAAGGGATTTCTTCATTCATCTTGTAAATAAAATTACCCCTGGATAGGACTAAGTGGATATTTTAACAACATTCAGCAGCTCCAGACTATGATTGCTAAGCAGCGTTTCCCTGACTGACAGTAGCTCTTGTGCTCAACACAAAACACCTCTTTGCAAAACATCTGATCCTTCTGTGACTCTGCCACGGCACAGACTGTGAGGTGGGTGGCTTTTGTCTTGGTCCTGTGAAGAGCTGACTTCCACTGAGACCTTTTTCACACCAAACAGCTCTGCCAGCAACAGGTCTCACCTCGAATTGTGTGTCAAATTCAGCAGCTCCAACATATTTGCATAACTGAGATTAGAGCTGGGAATCAGGGCTGGCCCATCAGTGTTAATTCAGAGATTAACACAGAAAAGGCTGAGATGCCTGTGGGTGACACAAGTCCTGCTGCAATGACACACACAAGGACCTCAGGAAATTTGCTGTGTCCTGGAAATCCTCTCAGAAAACTTTTCATGGGCTCTCTTGTGGGGAAGGATGTGAGTTCCCACAACCTCAATTACTCAGTTCCAGCTCTAGCAGGCTGTTTGTCAAGCTTTAGAGGTCCAGAGTTAGTCCCTGGAGTAGCAGCTAAAAGGAGAGTTACTATTCAGGCATTCAGCCTAATACAAGGAGGTGATCAGTGGCAAGTCCTTTAGACCTCCATTACCTCTCAGACTTTCATTTGAGACTAGAAATGCAGCCTCTCCCCTGCCCCAACAGCTCTCCAAACAACTCCAAAATGCCCTTTCAAATGCTGTTCAGATAATAAAAAGTAAAAGCCCCCTTGTGTCTTCCTCCCCTCATCACAGATGGAGAGTTCACAGCACTCCAGAAGTGTCCTGAGCAATAAAGGCTGAGTGAATTGCTGCTGGGAATCACCACACAGAGAACGAGACACACACTCCACATCCTGCAGGTATATTCAATTTTTAATTTGAACCTCTCTCTCTCCCTTCCCAACTTACCACTTGGTGGACCAGTCTGGCTGGGTGAAGGGTAAATATTAAACATCATCTGCAACCTCCCCACGCTCAGGACTGGCTCTGATCTCTCTGCATCTCTTGGAGATGTGGCCAGTCCTTCGATGGCCAGACCTCCACCCTGCTGCTCAGCTGTGTTTGGCTTGTTACAGAACAGTTTCAGCCCATGTACAACGAAAAGACAGGACAAAACGGGGCGAAATCTTGCTTTGACCACCCTGCTGGAGGCTCCTCTCTTAACCTGGGGTTGGACACCTTGGTTTATCCTGAAGATAAACCTGACAGTTTCAGCCTGAGGACATGTCACACATTTCACATGCTGTCCCTTCCACCAGCTTTGCCCTGGGAGTCTGTAACACCAGGATCAGTTCTGCAATGTTTTCAACACCTGCAGTTGTCCCCAAAATGCTCTCATGACCATGGCCCAGAGATGGATGTCAGGGTTTGTTTTTTTACCACTGAGTGGGAAGAGAAAAAAATTGCTGTGGAGTGTTAAATTCTGTGCTCAACTAAATATCAGAGCCCTGCTTTGACTTAATTCCCACCTCCACAGTGCTAATGCACTGCTCTTAGGACCCAAAAATTGTAGGGTTGGAAGATGTTTTGAAAGACACTGTGAAGTCCCTTGTGGTTTATCTTGTCAGCTCTTGTCCCCTGCTTCACAGGGAGGGATGTGTTGTGGTTAATGCCTTTCCTTCCCTCTGCAAGATGGAAATATTGTGCCTTGAAAGCCTGCAGTGCCCGTTTGAAGTGCCCCGTGTGCGCTCTAAACAAACTAGAGACAAAACTAAAACTGCTCCTGACCTCCAGCTCTGAGCTTTGCAACCACCTCAGACATCTCTGCAGTGGTCCCAACCCAATAAACATCCCGGGACAAGCTTTGGTCCAAGTCTGTGTTCTGTTCATGTGCCTTCAGCATTGGACAAGGTTAAATCATAAAATCATAGAATGGTTTGGGTTGGAAGGGACCTTAAAAATCATTGAGTTCTAACCCCGCTGCCATGGGCAGGGACACCTTCCACTAGATCAAGTTGCTCCAAGTTCCATCCAACCTGGCCTTGGACACTTCCAGGGATGGGGCAGCCACAGCTTCTCTGGGCAACCTGTGCCAGGGCCTCCCCACTCTCATAGGCAGGAATTTCTTCCTAATATCCAGTCTAAATCTACCCTCCTTCAGCTTGAAGCCATCCCCCCTCGGCCTGTCACTACGTGTCCTTGTAAAAAGTTCCTCTCCAGGCTTCCTGTAGCTCTTTTAGGACCTGGCAGGTACCCAAGTATGGAAATACAGCAAGATGGCAGCGTTAGGAATGTCTGATGGGCTCTTTGTGCTTGAGAGGAGCTGTTGTTCTCGGTCCTTTGGTGGGACTCATCAGCTTCCCCACATACTGGGCTGCAGAGTGGAAGGAGACAAAAGGAAGACCAGAGAATCTCAGAGTATCCTCAGCTGGAATGGACCCACAAGGATCATGGAAGTCCAGCTGATCATGGAAGACCAAACTGGGCTTTTTGGGGTGTGAAGCCCCTCTGCTATTTTGGTGACAGGTAGAGCTGGGAAATGGTGTCACTTGGGCTGCAGCTCCTGCTGGGGGCACGGAATCCTCTGCCATCCCCAGGCATCCAGCCCTTGGATGCAAGGAGCACCAGAGACTTTAGGGCTGAAAGGAGTCAAAGGATTAGCAGCAAAAGGAGGAGAGCTGGTGTGGTTAAGCAACCTGGGAAAGCTGGAAAGTCAGCCCAGCCTGTTGGCCACCTCACTGTTGCCCCAATCCCAGAGTAAAGCGGGAATCCAGCAGGTTTTGTCACCCTCTTTGCTGCAGTCTGGAGGGAATTGCTCTGGGGAGATGTTGGCACACAGTGGTCCGGGGCAGGGAAACAGGATGTGCTTCCCTGCACATTCCTCCCCTCCCTGCCCAGGCACTTTTGTGTGGTCAGCACTGACCACAAAACTCTGTGGTGGCTCTAAAACATTGATGGGGAAAGAGCCACAAAGCTTTTTGCACTAATTCCCATCGGTCTATAAATACATTTTGGGGGTAGGAGAGTGTAAGACTTTTCCTCTTCCTGTAGGGAACGTGACTAAATCCAGTTACTTACTCTGCATAGACTGCAGAGGTTGCTTTGGGTGACTAAAACTTTCAAATTAACGGGTTTAGGATACCAAGGCTAGAAAGAGCTGCCCCCAGGAAAACTTATTTTTGCCTCACAAGTCCTTTCTGAGAGTAAATAAGTCAAAAACCCTCATCTAGTGAAGATGACAGGAACGTCCTTAACGTTTCCATTCAGAAAAATACACAAAAATATTTGAAGAACTGAATAGGATTTCCCAGAAAGATTTCTCTGTGTCATATCCTTTCTTTCTACATAGAATTCAAGAGGATCTGCTCTCCCTCTGGGAGGTATAAATTCAGGGCTCAGCAAATACTCAGGACCTCTCTCTCCCAGCACTCTTGATGCTTGTTCATTGTGAGTTGTTCTCATGGATGTGCCATAAACAGCAGAGCCACGGGAAAGCTAAAGGGAATCTGGGATCTCAGTGATGCTGCTAAAAGCCAGGCTGGTGTGTTGTTCTTTGAGTCACAAAAACAGTGGATCCCTGTCCACCAGGACACCTGAGCTGGGACAGGTAAGTCAGGAGAGGTGCATCCAGTGCATCCCGATGCCAGCACAGGCTTCAGGAATTGTGTGTATGGATTTGCACTGGAGAACCCCATGTTCCTGAGCCCTCTGTGTTGGGCAGTAATTTAAAGTGCAGTAATTTAGGCTGCAAACTAAACGGAAAATGCTGCTTTAATACTCCCCTGCAATTAAAGTGCAAACCCGGGACCATTTGGTCGTGGGTGTGAGGAACGTGGTGGGAATTGAGGGAGAGCGGGAGGCTCCACATGACATTTTCTCTGTGGGCCTATTGAGGCCTCATCTGCTGCCCTCCACATCAACAACTCCTGCCTCAAACATTGCCCACGTGGGTTGCACTGGCCAGGAAGGCTCTGGATAAAAGTTGGCTGCAGTAGGGAAGTCTGACTTATTGTACATAAAATATTATTCTTTAACTGTCACTCTGAACAACACTTTTAAGCTTTTTCACAACAAAGTGAAAAAATAACACTTGCTTTTTCTTCTTTTTTTTTAGTTAAAGTTGTACTAATGCTCAGCTCTGAGTGATCCCAGCCCTGCCTTAATATATTTTTTGCCTCTGCACAGTCTTACTCCATTATTTCTCCCCTGCTTTTCTTCTGCTATTACATGCACATAAAAGTTTCCTAAAGGCAAATCCTATAGAATTTGTCAAACAGGCAAACTGAGATTGCTGTCAGAACCTTGGATTGAGAGGGTCAGGCTCATTCTGCTGCCTAAAACTGAGCTGAGCTGTTTTGAAAATGTGGGACCAATCAAGGAAACCATTAAACAGATAAACACAAAAGCTATTTTTTTTAATTTTCAAACATCCTAAACTTTAAGTATTCCACATTTTTCCCCTTAAAAATACATTTAAAAAAGTCTCAAAGTAAGAGGTATTTAGATCAAAGGGATGTCAAATATACAACAGTTAAATCTAACTGGTCCCTGTGAGCTTGTTTTTAAAGGAATACATGATCCAGCTTGGCCAGATGATGGGCTGGGAGACAGGGATGCAGGAATGTTCCTTCCTCTCCCATTATCCCTACTTTCCTTTGCCATGGGGAATTTACATGAGCACCTGAGAATTTAGCTCCTACCCTGGTTCCTGTGGGTCAGTGACTGGGTTTGGACAAAAACAATAGAGGATAAAACAAGGAAAAAGCAGGAAGAGCTCCTTTACTCACTAGTTGACAGTTCCATATCCCTTGGCTTTAGTAAATCCCACGGAAATGGCAACCACCAAGGCAGGGAGCCCTGTGGAAATGAAACAAGAGGAAATTGGTCATTTAAGCACATGTGCAGCTCTTCTCCCACTCAGTATTCCTCTTTCTTCCCAGAGTTATTCCAGCACCATCTGTCCCAGCCTGGCTCTCTGGCAGAGACTGAATTCAGGACCTTCCGAGCCCAAAGCAGAACCCTCCTCATTACCTCTGTTAATGAAATCAAAGCCATCAGCTGCAATCAGCTCCTTCCCTGCTGTGGGCTCAGCACTTGTGTGGGCACTCACAGTACACCCAGATACGTGAAATCTATTTATTTTATTCTTAGGTACAACACAGGATGGCCTGGAATATAGCAGGGTGTCTCCTGAAGAAGGAATACTCAGCCACAATCCAACTCAAGGAACCCAAAGATCAGGAGTTGTGTTTGCACTGACAAAGCAACCCAAGTTTAAATCTTACCCCAAATGAAGGAGAAGGGGAAACTAAAATTGAGTTCCCCTACCCCAAACAGGTCCCTCAAGATCTGTAATAGAGCAGGTTCCTCTGAACAATAGAAAAGAGCTTCAGAACATCAGATCTTTTGGAAAACCACAATACTCCCTCTTGCCAGAGACCTGCTCCATTTTGTGTCCAAAAGGTGAATGAACTAAGAGAAACCTGTTGCCCTGGAGAAGACACAGTTCATTATGAGTGTGGCAAAGGAATAGCAAGTTATTCTGTGGCTGGGACACCCCAATTTCTCTTCAGAGCATCATGAACTAAGGAAGCTGACACAGGATGTATTTCAGGTGCACAAGGGGTGAAATTATGGCCTTGATCCTACAGACAGAAGCTCCCACAAAATTTGAGGGAGGAGTATAAAGAAAACCTGCTGGTTATTGTGCAACCTGCTGCTTATTGGCCTAAAACTCATAAAATATTCGGAGACTGTGAAGTCCCTGACATGCAAGTACAATGAGAACCAGCAAAACCCCTATATCTTCCTAATAATCTTCTGATCCTTCTTATCCCTCCATGCTCAAGGACCTGTGGAGGTTCACTAGCCCCAGCCCAGCTCTCCCTTTTCCCTAAAGAAATGCCTGATATTGGCTAATAACACCTAGTTCTTCAGCTCTGCAGGGCTCCACGTGGCTGTTTGTATCCCTCTTCCTTGTGACACGAGGAATTAAGCTGTCTCGATGCTACAGATGGGCAAATCCCATTAGGAATCAGCAGGATCAGTAGCCAGCTGGGATTAGTGCTCCCCGACAAGACCCTAATTCCTGAGCTGCAGAGGTCACAGCAGGTGACTGCAGGAGACCTGGAGATGGAAGGGATGTGCAGACACAGCATCCAGACCATAATCCTGCTGGGAAGGTGGTCACTCAGCCACACAAGTCATGCCCAGATGGATGAGCAGTGAGGCTCTGCAGCCAGCTGGGAGCCACGAGGCCAAGCTGACCACAATTAGAGCATTTGAGAGTTTTCCTGCAGGGAAGTGCTTCTCTTCCCATATGAGATTTCCAAGCATAGCTCAAGTGTCATCAGTCCAAACTCAACAGGCAATGGGTTTAAAAGATGTCTCTTTTAAATTTCCTTTCCTTTTCCCCTCCTTTTCTCTTTTTTCCCCTTTCTTTTCCTTTCTCCTTTCCTTTCCTTTCTTTTCCCCTTTCCTTTCCCCTTTCCTTTCCTCTTTTCCTTTTCCCTTTCCTTTCCTCTTTTCCTTTTCCCTTTCCTTTCCTTTCCTTTCCTTTCCTTTCCTTTCCTTTCCTTTCCTTTCCTTTCCTTTCCTTTCCTTTCCTTTCCTTTCCTTTCCTTTCCTTTCCTTTCCTTTCCTTTCCTTTCCTTTCCTTTCCTTTCCTTTCCTTTCCTTTCCTTTCCTTTCCTTTCCTTTCCTTTCCTGTCCTTTCCTTTCCTTTCCTTTCCTTTCCTTTCCTTTCCTTTCCTTTCCTTTCCTTTCCTTTCCTTTCCTTTCCTTTCCTTTTTCCTTTCCTTTCCTTTCCTTTCCTTTCCTTTCCTTTCCTTTCCTTTCCTTTCCTTTCCTTTCCTTTCCTTTCCTTTCCTTTCCTTTCCCTTCCTTTCCTTTCCTTTCCTTTCCTTTCCTTTCCTTTCCTTTCCTTTCCTTTCCTTTCCTTTCCTTTCCTTTCCTTTCCTTTCCTTCCCTTTCCTTTCCTTTCCTTTCCTTTCCTTTCCTTTCCTTTCCTTTCCTTTCCTTTCCTTTCCTTTCCTTTCCTTTCCTTTCCTTTGCTTTCCTTTCCTTTCCTTTCCTTTCCTTTCCTTTCCTTTCCTTTCCTTTCCTTTCCTTTCCTTTCCTTTCCTTTCCTTTCCTTTCCTTTCCTTCCCAAACCTTCCCTTCCCAAACTTTCCTTTCCTTTCCTTTCCTTTCCTTTCCTTCCCAAACCTTCCCAAACCTTCCCTTCCCAAACCTTCCCTTCCCAAACCTTCCCAAACCTTCCCTTCCCAAACCTTCCCTTCCCAAACCTTCCCAAACCTTCCCTTCCCCTTCCCCTTTTCTCCTTTCTCCTTTCCCTTTTCTCCTTTCCCCTTTCCCTTTTCTCCTTTCTTCCTTTCCTTTTCTTTTTTTCCCATTTTTTCTCTGAACTGACTATTGCCCCTCTTGCTGAGCCTTCTTCACACCTTCACACCTCATCTGGACATGCTCTGGGTGCTGCATTCCCTGTGGTCCCACCAATATGGTATCCAAAAGAACCCCCACGTGAAAGGACATTTGCAGGAGCACAGCTTGATGGAAATTTGGCCAAGACTCTGCCAAAAATAGCAACTTGTTCTTCGCAAAGTGCTTCTCTGAGACGTGATAATTATGCAGAAATACAGGCTCAGGCTGTGAACTCGTCAGATCCAGGGACTGGTTTTACCAAGGCTGGGGAAAAGCCTCAACTTGTGCTGAAAGTGGGTCTGTACAAGTAACAATTACTAAAGGTAGCAGCTATGTTGTGGTAGTTACACCAAAGAGCATCATAATCAGAGGTGCTGTGCTCCTTCACCTTGGGAGAGCTGTCTAACCAAAGTCAGATGTGAGAAGAGTGAAAAAAGAAACAATAAAAAAATCAAATTTTTAATTTATTTCTTTGATTATTTAAAAGACATTTATTCCCAACTGCTCTGTTCCATGTACCTTGTGTGGTGGAGGCAGTCACTGCCAAGGTTTTGGGGGCTTTCTGCAGAAAGTGGATTTTACATTCACAATTCCAAATAAACGTGGTTAAAACCTCCTTCAAAGAGTTTTGTACTTCCAGGTAACAAGGGAACAGGTCATGTGCTCATCATGTTCCACTGGAAAGATGTTTACTAAAGGCCTTTACTGTTATTAACAGCTGAAGTCCCAGAGCCTGATCTCTGGCAGCATTAAAAATCCAGTTGTGGAAACTATGACATGGTCATAAAAATATTGGCAAAAATATTTCTTCTTTGCTGGGGCTAAATATGATTAATTATTTCTAGGGAATAATTTATCTGGGGAATAATTATAATAATTCTAGATCATAGAATCATAGAACATCCTGAATTGGAAGGATCAAGGAGGATCACGAGGATCAAGGAGTCCAACTCCTGACCCTGCACGGGATCACCCAAAGAATCACATAAAAGTGCCTGAGGGTTTTGTTCAAACATGGACAAGAATTATCAATAATATAAAATAAAGACGAGAACTTAAAAATCTAATTGCTAAAAAGTCTTTTCTGGAAAGACAAAGTTGCACAGCCAAGAGGAGACCAAAAAAAAAACCCACGGAATGAAATCCTCTGCAGTTTCAATGAGCTCCAGCTGACAGCAGCTGAGGACTTGGCAAAGACGTCTCCAACAAGGGCTTAGAGAAATGTTAATATGCAGAGGGGGAAAAGGGGGGAGAATGAGCCCATGACAAAGTGAATTGTGCTAATTATTTCAGATTATGCTCTTTAAAACATATTTTCGGCTTCTTCCCTCTTACAAGTGCCATTAATCCCAGCTCTACAGCTGAAGTCTAGCAGGATGCTAAATATCCAAAATTCCCTTGCTGCCTTAATAGACGAGAGTGTTCTTCATTCCTTGTCCTAACCTACTCCAAATGGTTATTATGCATCATTTATCAGCAGTGCATCCTTGCTCAGAGCTCACTACATTTTACTAGCAGTGCAAATTAAGCTTCTACACATGTAGGGATATATAGATATATTTTTTTTTTTAATCTGTACAGACTACAAATGTGAATGTTGCTCATCCAAAATTCCCTTGCCTAACAAGCCCCATCTGTCCCAGCTTTTGCAGATCAGAAAAAAAAATCCCTTTTTATTACCTAGAAAAGCTATTAGTCCGTTGCATTTGATATCCCTGATGTTCCCTGAGTCACAGAGGAGGTATAAACACATGCATGAACACACACAGGCTCGTGCAGCCTGTGCTCTGCAGGTATGTGGTTGATGCTGCTCCTGCCACACACAAACACTGTGTTTTAATAACACAATTTATTTTCCATGGTAAGCAAAAGCTCGGGAGCGAAAACTTAAAGGGATGCAGGTGCTGGGACGAGGACGGCTCTTGATGTGCCAGAATAAATCACATCAGGGTGCTTGGTAAGCATTAGAAATCTCTTGCCTGGGGTGAATTGCAAGACTTCAGTAGTAAAGCGAGGTGCTAATAGAGCTCAGACACACAACGTTTTCCCCCTCCCTTTCTTTCCTTCGCCTCCTCACTCTTCAGCAACTTTTTGTTCCATTGCTCCTTTCAGACACGCACTTGTTATTGCTTTGAAAGCCCAGGTTATGGGTTTGTATTTGTTTTCTACTACAGAATGCATCATTTAGGGCTAATAAATTAAACATACGGCAGAGGCAGAGGGAGAAAAATTAGTTACAAGCGTCTGCACCAGTCTCGGAGTTTATTTGCCTACAAAAGGCGCCGCTGCCATGGAGACGGGATTTCAGAGCTCCCTTCCCTCTGGGTTGGGTGTAGAACCTTAGAATCATGAAATCATTAAGGCTGGAAAGGACTTGTAAGATCACTGAGTCCAGCCCTTAACCCAGCACTGCCAAGTCCACCACTAAACCCTGTCCCTAAGTGTCACATCCACATATTTTCCTGAACAATGCCAGGGATGGTGATTCCACTACTTCCCTGGGCAGCCCGTTCCAGTGCTTGACCATCCTTTTAGGGAAGAAATTTTTCTTAATATCCAACCTAAACCTCCCCTGGTGCAACTTGAGGCTGTTTCCCTCTGTCTTATCACTTGTTTTCTGGGAGAAGAAACCAATCCCCACCTGGCTACAAACTCCTGTCAGAGAGTTGTAGAGAACAATAAGGTCCCCCCGAATCTCCTTTTCTCCAGGCTGAGCCCCCCCAGCTGCTCCTGGTGCTCCAGACCCTTTCCCAGCTGCATTGTCCTTCTCTGGACACACTCCAGCTCCTCAATGTCTTTCTTGTAGTGAGGGGTCCAAATCTGACCCCAGGACTCAAGGTGTGGTCTCACCAGTGCCGAGCACAGGTCACTGCCCTGACCCTGCTGGCCACACAATGTCAGGATGCCATTGGCTTGTATCACGTACCAATGGACATATTCCACACGGAGAAAGACAGCAAGAGAGAGAAAAGGAGAAAGCAAGAAAGAGACCCAAACCCAGGACAAACCACCCAGAGCACACCCTTTGAAAACTCAGCTCATCTATTTTGCCCAACCCTCGGGCGCAACGGGAGCTTAGAATTCATGGCTCTGGGTTGTGCTATTTATAACCATTTCAGCCCCTCCTGAAACCCCTGAAAGGGTTACAAGCACCCTCTGCCAAGCCTTCTGCAGAGCAGGGCAGCCTGGACCCTTCTGTGCTCCTCAGCCCCAGGATCCTCACCCCATCCGAGGCACAAGAAGCGCTTGCGGATGATGCGGTTCCGTAACCGGCCCGTCACGGCCATGTAGGACTGCCAGGCCTCGGTCAGCACCCAGCAGAAAGAGGACAGGAAGAAGAAGTGCAAGAAAGCTGCCACCAGCGTGCAGATCACCTGGGGAGAGAGAGAGAAGGAAAGGAGGACACGTGAGAGGAGCAGCAGGCGGAGAGAGCAGCACGTAGGAGAGCGGAAGGCGCGGGGAGATGATTCCAAACCAGGCTCTGGAAGGCAAGGTCGTGGAGTCAGGACATGAGAAAACATTTTAGGACGAGGTAGTTTCCCCCACCACCTTTGACCTAGCAAAGGACCAAAGCGTTGGCTGCAAATTTAAGTACTACATGGAAATTGGCTGCTTTTAAACATGAGCTCTGAGATAAACCCATAGTTAACACTGAAGTCACAGAATCACAGAATTATAGAATGGTTTGGGTTGGGAGGGACCTTAAAGATCATTTAGCTCCCACCCACCCCCACCATGGGCAGGGACACCTTCCAATAGAAATCTGAGCTTGGGTTCCATCCTGGTGCTTTCTTGGCTTGAGCAAGATATACTTAATTTCTGAAAGACCAAAACCATTGCCACGATCCTTTTGGGGGTGTTGGAGGGTGCAGAGTAGTTAGTAAACCATGCACTAATCTCAGCTCAAAAGGTTTGCAAAGCACCATGTCATTGGCAGCTGAACCACAGAAATGAAATCAGAGGAAGGCAATTTGGATGGTTTCCCTGCCAGGGAAGGAGAGCTGAGTGAAAGAGTTAAGCCATGAGAGCCGGGTGAAACCACGGCTGCCAGGGGCTGGTAAAGGACTGCAAACATGAGGGCAGGGTTGTCCAAGAGCACAGAACTACCAGTAGCCAGGGAAAAGCGAAAAAGAAAAAAAAAAAAAAAGGAATTTCATAATGGTGAGCTCTACTACTCAGTGGGGAAATCTCACCAGGGAAATGCAGGGAGCTTAAGCCATTTAAAATTAAACTGGGGAAAGTACTCGCAAATGCATTATGAAGAACAATCCCGGAGTGCCGGGGAGATGGACTGGAAAGCTGACAAGCTCGTCTTTGTTTTAACTCAGCAAGGCCAAATCTTTCACTGGTGCAAATTGGTGCCGCTCTGTTTAACTCGGCCAGTTTTTCCCCCATCTGTGAGCTGGAAACTGTGAATCAATGTACTCGGGAAGGAAACGACGGGAAGAAACTCCAGCGGCTCCCAAGGAGAAGGGAGAGCAGACAGAATTTAAAAGTGACTCTGGATAAAGTAATGGCTTAAGGCATTTGGGGGAGGGGGAGGTTTATAATCAAGGATTTCTCTCCGCTTTGAGTTGTATCAGGAAATGCGGACTTTGGGTTTACGGTCAATGAACCTTTCTCTTTTTTTCATCCACCAGCAGCTTTTAACTCAGGGCTCTCATGCACAGAGAGGCTTTTATCCTGATTTTATCGGATTGCTCTCCATTCATACACCGGCACAGCGCCACGTTATCAGAGGTTGTGAATAAAAGCAAGGCCGTGTGTTCTTTCAGATAGGAACTGTCTTTTTTGTTCCATATTCGTATTTGACACCAAAAAAACCCCTCAGTTTTCTGCCTATAAATGGATTCTGGATGACAGCTCAGGACAAGGAACACGGCTCGGTATGATAATTTCCAGTAATTTTTGCATTGTAAAAGAATCCTAAAAAGGTGGTTCCTATTCATCAGCTTACAAACCTACATAAAACAGTTACAAACAGAGGATGCTTTCTGGAATGTTTTGGGTTTTTGTTTTTTTTGCTAATATCAGATATGATACTATTCATGTCCCCTTTTTGATTTTGTTTCGAACCAACACGGTACTTCCCAGTTCACCAGCAGTTTATAAGAGGGGAGAGAAAAACTTTGCTTTATAATTTTACACCAGACAGAGACACATCTTCTGGGTGTTTTTTCTCAATCAGGTAGTTTTGACAGAAAGGGGAGGAGAAGAAAGGAGGGGAGGACAACAGAAATAAGCACATCTCAGCTGGACATGTATAAACCCATCGCCTCAGCTGAACTTGGCCATTGATGGGCAGCCACATATTTGCTCCTGCAAAACCTCTGCTCCAGGTTCTTCCTTCCTCGTGGGCAAAAACATAAATGTCCATGAAGGGCTAAGCACAGAGAAATGATGTCCCAAGCTGCTGGAGAAAGATCTAGCAGAGCTTGTCAGTCTGTCAAGGCCATTAGCCCTTGTTTTCCTTTAAGAGGAGAAATCTGTTCCCTCGCAGCACCCAAGCCATGCCTCTGAGATAGTGCCTGTTCTCACAGCACGCATTTCTTTTGTATCAGGGTATTGCTGACTGTAATTTTTTTTTAGCCTTTTCCCAGGCCTTTCATCTTCAAAAAGCTTAGCAAATCCAGGCGTGGAATCCTGCCTTTGAGGTTACACGGATGGAAATCAAGGGAGAATTTGACACTTCCAGGGAAGCCAATCCCGTGGAAATCCTCCCGGAGTAAACCGCAATCATAAATCAATCACCGACACTTTTAAGACGCTCTATTATCAATAATTGAACGCGAATAAAATCTTAATTTACATTCCTTCGTTTCTTGTCTGTATAGTTTTCTTTCTCTGTTCCCTGCCAGAGACTGTTTACTAGATGGCTGAGAGGAAATCCAAGAATAACCTTTCTATTTATGGTGTTTCATGCATATGTATGTGCAACGAGCTAATCTGCCTCACGAAATCACTGCCGGGAGCTTTGAATCCCCACTACCAGCTCTGACGTGAACACCCTGATTAACGGGACAAAAAGCACCAGGGAGAACCTGGGCTGTGCTCTGCAGGGGGTGGGAGAGGTGAAGGAATCCACCTCCTTCCACCAGGTGAAGAGGATTAACCAAACCATGGGTGAGCTCGGCTTTGTCATCTTGAGCCTCCCTCAGTGTTGAAAGGAATATCCCAGCACACATTTGGGGTTGCAGACAATGCACCCAGGGAAAGCAGGAGCTTGGGTCACCCCTTCTCCACCTCTTGCCAACTCTGTGGGCCACAAGAGACAGCTCTGCTTTGTGATATGAGTTTGTGAAGGGCACCTCTTTAGTAAGAGCAGAGTTGTCTGGCTGCTTGTTACCACACTTCTCTCACACACAAGATTCAAGCAGCTGGAAAACTTTCCTTAAAACAACCTATCCCTAACCCAAAGGGGTCTCCATAGAAATGAGTCTCTGGGATTCACTAAACCCTTTGGCTTCTCTGCAGAAACTGTAGAATCACAGAATGATTTGGGTTGGGAGGGATCTTAAAGATCATTTCATTCCAACCCCTCTGCCTCGGGCAGGAAGACCTTCCACCAGACCAGGTTGCTCCAAGCCCCATCCAACCTGGTCTTGAACACTTCCACAAATGAAGCATCCACAACTTCTCTGGGCAGCCTCTTCCAGTGCCCTACCACCCTCAGACTGAAGAATTTATTCCTCATATGCTTCCAACAGTGACAGCAAGTTCTGGCTGCCAAAGCAGGGACTCAAAAAAACCCAGTTGGTCACTGGTTACTGTTCAGTAATAACTAATTTTTGATTTCTGATTGTGATTTTGGCAGCAGACGGAGTGGAGGAGGTTTCTTGCCTCACTTTTTTTGGCTCAAAAAAATGAGCCAAATATGATGGTTGGAGCATTTGGGAAGATGGGAAAATTTACAACGGGAAAACACTGATGATGAGCAGTGATTTGTCATTCCAGATACCAACAGGGAATGTGAAACTGCTTCACACACGCCCCTCCAGCTGGGTCTGTAATGTGGGAAGGCATGGCTGTGCAACCAGTGCACATGGCTTGGAAAACCACATCAGGTTTTGCCTGTCCTGCTCAAGTCACCCTGGGATCTGCACAGAGTCCCTCGAGGCTCTGCAGTGTGAACAGGGCATCTGGAAATGCTTCCTGCTCCAAAAAAGGTGGGGTTTTTGTGTCTGTGTTCATCAACATCTGCCAAGTGCTTCAAGCTCAGAGTATTAAAATTGCTGGAGAAATAAATGTAAAGCTGAGAGGTTGTTTGTTTGTTTGTTTCTTTAAAAAAGCCTTTTCTCAATCTGTCTTCGTAATATTTTTTCTTTGAAAATAAAATGGTTATAGCCCTGCAAAACACCACGGTTCTTCACCGTGCCATGTGCCAGCTACTCTAGGCAGATATTCAAAAATATCACATTGGTTTTAATCAAAGCCCTGAGGATGCTGACAAATTATCAAAGGGAGAGCGAGAGAGAAAATTGAAATCTGCCATTTAGCCATGCCTTTGACATGTCGCTAATTAACAGATGGAGGAAAAACGAGGAAGCGCTGCCTGAACGGATCATTTCGGTGCTAAATCAGGGGAAAAGCCAAACAAATAAACAAAAGCCTGACTCATCTCCCACCTTATTCCGGGTCTGGGTCTGTCCGATCAGGATGAGGGCGTTGGAGGAGATGATGGAGAGGCAGAAGTTGATGAGGATGACGGAGCGCTCGGAGCGGATGTACCTGCAGCGAGAGAAGAGGGGGAGGGAGACCCACCCTGTTACAACAGGCACCAAGTCACCCCTAAAACCCACCAACCAGGTGCAGGTTGCTCTGGGCCAGGCTCTACACAAGGCCATGGCAAGGGGCTGCCCATTTCCTGCAGATTTTGTGTGTTAAGCAAACAAGAACAAGGGGGAAAGGGAGGGGGAGGAGGTCTCTCCACCATCCCCCCTCAATGCTGGAGTTAGGAGCCAACAAACTAGGGGCCAGCCTAGTCTGAGCCCCTCCTAAGACAGTAGAGTGCTGCAAGTCTTCTTCAGCTCTGCCTACTTGGAAGGGGGCTTGAAAAGGAGCTTAAAAGAAAAACATACAGGCAACACACGGAAAAGATTCCCAAATAAGAAGAGCCACAGGCATGCTGGCCATGGAAGCAGATTACGAACACATGCGCCTTCACAACAAAGTGTGTGTGGTTCAGCATTCCCCTCCCTTTAACCTAACAAGGCATCCTGAAGGGAGAAGCGTTTCTGGCTTTTTTTTTTCTTTTTCTTCTTCTAAAAACACTTCTCAGAACTAGGCCAAACACGCAAGTGCAGCCGCGGGTCTGGGACATGAGGGATATAAGTCGGGAAGGTGTTGCCTTCAGCACCTTGCAGGAGCAAGGGATTTGTCACTTCTGATTTGCAATGGTGCAGCACAGCCCCGACTCGCTGCTGAGGTGTGGGCACGACAATTAATTCAAACCACTGGCCGTGGAGGAAAATTTCTTTGAAGGCACTTTTATGTACCTAATAAAACCAAAAAACAGGGAATTGCAAAAGTGCAAGTCCTCCAGGATTGACTCGGGATCTCACCACACCAACACTCACACACGTGAGTTATCCCAGTGATGCAGCAAAGGCCCTGCCTGAATACCAGATGAGCAAAGAGTAGGTGCTGATGATTATATAAATTAGAAACAGATGTATTAATCAACCAGCTCATCCCTGGAGGCTAATGCAGGATTATTTCCTATATTCCAGCATGGCAACTATTTATATTGGGAATTTAATTTCATTAATTAATTTTAGTGCAAGTGAGTTGGTCGTGCCTTGGCTGCAGAGTTTTGGGTTCCTGATTAGGAGGGCAGGATGAGTTTACTGCACATGTGTGTTCTGCCAAGGTTAAATCTGTGCTTTAGACCTAATGAAGGCTGTAAAACTTTTGATTTTAAATTTTCTCTGAGTTTTGTTTTCAGACAAACATGAATATGAGGATATGATTTCCTGGATACAAAAAAGCCATTGGTGCAAAGCAGTGAATTGAACTTCTACTTAGGGTGTTGGAAATCTGGTTTAGGGGTAATTCTCCCTGAAACTCACCCAATCCCAGAACAGGTTAAAAGATTTAGGATCCCAGCTCAGCTAGAAACTGGGTTGACTGCCTGAAAAATTTGCTTCTGGTTCCTTTCCTGGCCAATCTGATCCCGAATTTCTTGATTTCCTTGGACTCAGTACAATGCTGTGCATCACCTGCATCCCATTCCATTTGTGGCTGGAGGGTACTGAGTCATCAGTCTATCTGTGCTTTGATTGTGTGAAGTAAAACATCAAGTCTCCAATCAGCAGCTTCTAGGGGGGTAGAAAAGGAGATTTGGACTCTGCCCTGGTGGGAATGAGATGTAATAAATCTGTGGAACAACACTATGATCCAACTGGTGCACTTCAAAAGCCTCCTCTAGTCAAAAAAGGTAAGAAATTAGTAGAGTCTGGATGTGAAAGTAAGGGAAGATAATCCAGCTGTCCTCACACTGTTCCCACCTTAAACCTCCTTAAGCCAAGCTCTCCTTTCTCCCTGCTTCCCTTCATATACCGAGAGCCCATCCCGTTCCCCAGATCCCTGAACATCCAAAGAACAAGACGTGGGTTGGCAATGAACAGAATCACAGAATCAGAGTAATTTAGGTTGGGGAAAATCCTCTCGAGTTCCCAGTTCAATCCTATGCCCCCCCCAAAAAGCACTAATTTCAAAGTCAGATCAGGCTTCTCAAGGTCTTGTCCAATCAAGTTTTGGAAAACACCAAGAACAGAAATGCTTCCACCTCTCTTGGATGACTTATTACAGCATTTAACTGCTCTGGTGGTGAAGGATTATTTTTTATATCCAGCTGGATCTTTTCCTGCTGCAGCTGCTGCCTCAAGACCTTTCCCTGCCTACCTCTGCAAGTTATTCCACTCTCCTATGACTCCTTAACAGCCTCCTCTTCTCCAAGCCAACCCTCGTCCAAGCTTGTGACACCCTTTGGCATCATGTTCTCCAGCCCCTTAAGCATCCACTGGATTTGCTCCAATCTCTTGTATTGGGAAAGTTCAATATTGGACAAACTTTTCCAGATGTGGCCACAACAGTGTCAAACGTGATCCAGGTTGTTAAAGAAGACATTAAACAATATTGGCCATAGAACCAACCCTGGCCAGAAGCAACAAGTTCCTGATGAAGCTGCAAACCTTTGACCATTGCCCTTAAATCCGGCAGGAACTCCATCCAGCTATTAAACCAACAATCCAGTGCACAATTCCCTGGTTTGGATACAAGGGAGACTGTGCTAATGGCCTTGGTAATGTCAAAATACACACCACCTACTCCTCTCCACCGTCCCTGTAACCATCCATCCCACCACAGCAGGGAAACAGGTCAGCCAGGCACAACCTGCCCTCAATAAATCCTCGCTGTCTATTCCCAATCACTTCCCTGTCCATCATATTGCTTGGAAATAACCTTTCTAAGTCCTTGCTCTTTAATCAGCCCAGGGGCTGTGTAGGTTGACCAGTCAGTTGTTTTTCTGGATCGTCCCCCTTGCCCTTTTTAAAGGTGGGTGTAACATTTGCCTTCTTCCAGCCATCAGGAACCTTCCCAGATGACAGAGCAGCTCCACAGCTACACCAGAGAGCTCCCTCTATGCATCCCATTTTGTCCCATGGATTTGCAAGTGTCCAGATAACCTAAATAATCCCTGTCTCTCTTTTCCTTGGTGGTGGGGAGTACTTTTTTCCCTGGATTTTGCCTCTGTGTAGGAATTTGGGTGCCTGGCAGCCGACCTTGCCAGTAGAATAAGGCAAAGAAGGCATTGGGTACCTTCACCTTTTCAACTTCCTTCTCCATTAGGCTCCTTGTCCCCTTCCATACCGAGCCAACACTTCCCTGGGTAATCCTTTGGTGCTGATGGACCTACAGAAACCCTTCCTGGTGCCTTTCACATCCCTCCCCAGTTTCAAAGGCAGCTGAGGTCTGACCATTCTAATTCAATCCTGCATTCCTGGGCAATTCTTCCAGAGTCCTCCTTGGTAGCCTGACCTGGATTCCAAGCATTTCCTTGCTATGTTTCAGTTCAATCAGAATGCTGAGACCTCCTGCCATGCTTGCTTTTCTCCTTCCATTTCCTCTTCCCCAGTACAGGATGCTCCACAGAAAGAAATCATCAATACTACCCCAGCCCCTCTGGCCAAAGAAGTCAGGAGCTCATATCAGAGAGGAAAAAAGCACAGAACTTGATAGGTTTTGCCAGAAAACAGATCTCCAGCAAGGACAGAGCTACTCCAGGGTGCTGTCTTGCTACCCCTTTGGCTGATATATGGACTCTGTCTACTTATCAAAATATGCTGTACTCAGCCACGAAAGCAGGGAAAAACTCACTGCTAATTCAGGGAACTTCTGCTCTGGCTTGTGTCCTAGAATCACAGAATATCCTGAGTTGGAAGGAATCCACAAGGATCATGGAGTCCAACTCCTGACCCCGCACAGACCCACCCCAAAAATCCCACCATGTGCCTGAGAGTTGTCCAAACTCTTCCTGAGCTCTGGCAGCCTTGGTGGTGTGAGCACTTCTCTGGGAAGCTTGTTCAGTGCCCGACCACCCTCTGGGGGAGGAACCTTTTCCTGAGATCCACCTAAATCTCCCCTGACACAGTTTCACCCCATTCCCTCAGGTCCTGTCGCTGGTCACCAGAGAGGCTCCCCACATCCTGCAGCGTGTGGGGAAGCCCTGCACAAGCTGAGACAGATGGAAAAGGTGGGAAAACCCTGCAGTCTGTCTCTCTGCCCCCATTAGACTCCCCTGCTCCCACAAACACTGAGTCACTCCTGCTTTCTCACTGTGTGTACACACATCCCTCTCCTTGCAGTCACTTACTCATTCCTGCTGCCTCCCACCAGGGCCACCGAGTGCCTCAGCACCTCCAGCACAGGCAGAGCTCCGGGGTTTAAAGCAAGTGTTAAAAGCCCCTGGAGAGCTCATTGACAGCCACTAAATCAATCCTCAGGCTCTGCTGGGCAGGGAGAGAAAAGCTCCCTGTGTTATCTCCCAGTGATCCAGCTCTCCCCCAGCTGCTGCCAGGGAACAGGGGCTGCCGTGCCCCACATGCTGATGGGCTGGTGGATGAGCTATTCAATAGCCAGCATCGATCTCCAGGCTATGGAAAGGTCACTGACTCCAGAGGCTGTTGAACCACGATGAGTTCAGGGACGGAAAACGCATCCTGAAATACCATCCTGTCAAGGAGCTGCTTGAAAGGAGTGGCACAAACCAGAGCTCGGAGGAACACAGCACTAAGTCATTTCACCTGTTCTGACCCTTGAGTAGCTGAGTTTTTTTCTCCCCAGTTTTTCATCTTCACGCTGGTGTTCAAGGGGGAAGATCTTTTTTTTTTTTCTTTCAATTCCCCCTCTTTTTCCACATGGGTGGTGGAGCGTGTGGCCCACACGCACATTGTGCCTCCAGCTGTGACCCGGGCCAGGCGCTGCCGAGATGTAACAAGGTCACTCCCCTTCCACAGCCCACTGTGTCACTGACCCCTCTGTCGAGCCTGCTAATAAGGCCAGAGATGCACCATCTGCAGCAGAGATTTTTGCAGCCATCTGTCTACTGGGAACTGGAGTGAGTCCACCAACAGGCCACCAACAGCCGTCAAACAGAAGCAACTCCCAGTTTTCCAGGAGGCTGTGCCAAGTTGGCCGGGTCTGAAGTGATCACTTGCATCAAAAAAGCTCGTGCCATTCACACCAGTGGCTGAGTAGATGCCACCGAGGAGCAACCATTATTTGGGGGCTTTGAATGGGAAGTGGAGGGTAAATTCCTTCCCCAAAGCTGAGATCACCTCCCTTCTACTCTTCCCCCTTTTCTTTACCGTGTCCCTCTCCCTCTTTCTCACCCGCCCTTTCTTTCTGCTTCCCATATATACACACACATATAAACAAACCCTAGCTGGGCAAAATTCTGGGAAAGCTTCCAGAGTGTCAGCTTCAGTGAGCTTATTCATCAGAAGTGTTTCATTCTCAAGCTGGGTCTATGTGTGCATGCTCCAGATGCCTTTGTCCGGAGTTCTGAATGGGAAATTTCCCGGCCAAAGCTCCCAAAAACAGCTGAGCTCTGGATGAGGGCTCTCCACAGAAGATCAGGCAGCCAGGGCATGAGGAGTTTCTCCCCTGCACGGTGAAAAAGAACCACTTTGATACTGCTCCTGTGTGGAATAATACTTCTGATTCCATTTCTAAACACTCCTCCTGTTGTCTATCAGAATATGTTACATTCAGGGCAAAGCAAAGTGGGAGCAAGGAGATAACGTTGACTTGAGTATGAGGTTCCTGAGACCATTAAAAGGACAGCACATTCACGTCCAGCAGCTATGCCTAAAATAAAAAGGACACACAGAGTGCTCAGGGCTCAGCCACGGGAATGCTGTGAAGTTCAGAAAACATGGAAACATGATCTACAGAGAAGAAATGGAACAAACTCAGCGCACCAGAGAGAAATTCTAGAGATCACTTGATCATGCTTTACAAATATTTACACAGAGAGACTTAGGATAGAGAGCCCTTTAACCAAGATAAAGCTGGTCTCAGGATCACTTGGAAATGCATGTCCATCCTTGGCTAGCTCAGAAATACCCATTCAAGCCTCCCATAAACGTGTCCCCCCATTGGTGCTGATTATTTTGGGCATAGGCACAAGGCAAAGGCTGGAATAAGAAATTAAGCAGAGTATATTTTAAACAGGTCAGGCAATTTACTGTCCTCAATAACAGTAAATATTGAGGGGGCACGCTCCTGGAAAAAAATACACCATGTTATTCCAAATGACTCTTGGCATGCTCCAAACTGAGTCGACCTCATGTCTGAGCTTGGGTTTCAGATCCTGAACTTGTTTCTGATAGGAAAGAGAGGGTGAGGCTCAAACACTTGCACTTTACTCTCCAATCCTAACTTTCCACTTGATCCTGACACCAGTGACACCAGTAAGTCACCTACCAGCGCTGCTCAGTGCTGCCCAGCCTGAGGAAAAGCAGGAGAGGACAAGGACTTGAGCACATCCAATGATACCCCAGGCACGGAAAAACCTGAGTTCTAGATAAATGTTATCATGATCAGTCTTCAGCTTGTTGCACTCGCCAAAATTAACCAGCCACTACGTACTGTCACAGTATCAACAAAAAAAGATGCATTTTTGCTCATTTTTTTTACTCTCTTGTTTCTTTCCTCTGTCAAAGGGTAGAAAAAGTTATCTCAATTCACACCTCTGAATGGAATTTCCCCTTTCCTTCCTTCCTAAGAAGAGTGACTTGACAAAATGAGAACCTCAGACTGATCCCTTCTCCCAAAAGGATCACCAGTAATATCCAGTTAGATTCTCTGTAGCCACTCCACTTCCATTTCACAGTCAGTCACCTGGTTCTGATTGTCTTTGTTTTATTCAGTGTGGAGCCATGAAGGTCTCAGTGTGTTTGCCATGGATTTAGGAAAGGAATGGGTCTCGTGGCATAAACTCAGACCTTGTTCAAGGCAATACAGGGAGAAAATCCCTTGCACACCTCGGGTTCTCTGGCTTATACAGTCCACCAAAACACGTCTAACAGGGGCATGGGCCAATACGGGCCTTGGTTCAATAAAACTTTGCTACAAATTCACTTCAGCCTTTATAAATGACACAATTTTAGGTTCCACCTGACCTGCTTATGTGTGTACAGGAGCTCTCTACCATGGGATGCACTGAGGACTCCCATTTGAACCTGAAGATGAAGGCAAAATGTAGCTAAGAGGTAGGAGAGTTATTTAGGTGATGGAGTGTAATGATGTGGTTTAACATCCTCAGGCTCCTGAGAAGTTCTGTCAGTTCTTCAGGCCAGATGTTTTCATGGCAGGTCATGGGAATTGTGATGTTATCAAAGCAATACCTCGAAGGAAAGGGCCTGCCCAGAGGCAGAACATGTCCACCTCGCCCCAGACAAGGTCTCCTGGAGTTTACAAAGGCATCTAAACCAGCAAGAGGCTTTTGGAAGTGGAACAGTGAGACTACATGGGGCCGTGGCACTAATTTCACTCTACTAATTTCTCTGGCACTGAAAGGAAAGAACAATGCCAGCTAAGCCACCAGGATGACTTTCTGCAGGACCCACTCGTTACCAAACAGCTCTTCCTCAGGCACCAGACACCCAAAACCAGAGGGCAAACACTCTAGGATCCATGCAGATTAAAAACCAGTTACTTTCCCCAAGAAGAAGAGAAGAGAAGAGAATGAAAGCCATACCTCCAAACAGAGACATAAATGATAATCAACAGCAAAAGTGTCAGCGAAGATACTCCACAGCCTACAATTAACGTGACAGAAGGGACCAGCACCTTTTCCATGTTCTGAAAGAGAGAAAGTAAGACATTAAAAAAAAGAAAGAAAGAAATAGAAGAAGCTCAGAAAAAATAAAATAAAATAAAAAACCAGTTCTACCAGCAAAATTTCATGGCAAGAATTTTCCTCCTAATTGTCACTGTGTCAACTCACCTGACCTTCACATCACACTGCACAAACAAATAAGGAGGAAAGGAAACCAGGATCTATTTCTGGTTGGCCCAGACTTCTTTTGGACCTGATTCTGTTCCCACACTCACACACACACACCAGTGTCAAGTCTGGGTAACAACTCTGATTTCTGTGGAAGGCAAACGTGGGTTGCAAGAGGAGGATCAGGCCCTTCCCATCCAGTGTGAAACTGTGAGGCAATTAATGAGGCAACAGCAGAAGGCAATGCCTGCACTGGAACAATTACCAAGGAGCTCTTCTGGGAATGGTGGTGATGAAGGGTGGAGGATGAAAAGGTGAAAATTTTCCACCAGCTACAGACATTCATCTGGAAAAGGATGAAGTAAAGCAAGTAAAGGAAAAGCAAGGTGTATGTCCTCCCCAGGGACCCAGAATCCAGCCATACCATCCATCAGTTCACTACTCTTACACTACTACAAGAGGCATTTCCTCATATAAAGGGATCATACAGACCGGAAAACCTGGTTGGGATGGTTCTGAAGAGAAAAGATCTGCAGACACAACCCAACACTTGCTGTAACCTCTCCTAATGGAGTTCTCTGCCTGGCTGTGACTGTGTAACCAACCAACATCTGCCAGACTGATACCACTAAAGTCATCCTGTCCTCAGCTTGGAGGGAGGATCTGGATCCCTCTTGGCTTTCCCTGCTGCAGGCTCATTTCCACACCGGTGATCTCTGCTGGCATGAGAGGCAGAGAGGCACAGACCCACCGTGCAGCAGACACACCAGAACCCTTTATTCAGAGGGATCAGCTCGTGTGCAGAGGGGTGGGAGCCCACTCAGGGCTCATTGCATTGTCATTGCACTGGCACAGCACCAACACCTATCGCTTCGCCCATGGACATGAGATGGTTTCTGACACAGCAAGGGCTTAGCACGAGGGAGAAAAAAACCACAAATAAAGGGAACTATGCAAAAATTTGGGAATAGAACAGGCAGCCCTCTAAGGACTTGACTGCACTGTTTTGTTGGCAGGCAGGAGGCTGCTCAACCTGAACCTCCAGTCAGCGGGATGCCATGAGGCTGAGGCTGTGGCAGCTCTGTTCCAGGCTACTGAGCCTTCTGCAAAGCAAAGTACATCAGGTAAGGCTCAGTGCGGTGCTCAGATGGAGCCTGGCCAGCTCAACACATGGGCAAAGCAAACATGTGTCCCTTCACTCAAGGCCCACAGTCACCACAGGTTTACTCCACAGAGCCCACCCTGAAGAGGAGATAAACAACCCTGGTGCAGAGGGGTCTGAGCTGAATTGTCCCTGGATTTTGAAGGACTTGGTAAGGTAAGATCTTCCTTATTTGATTATGTTGACCAGGGGTGCCTCACACATTTGGAGGGGGAATTAATTAATTAATATGAGGACTTAAGTCCCCACATTTTGAACCTCATTGGGATGAATTAATGAGGAAAAAAAACTCTCACACCATTGCAGTGAACCCCACAGGAGCTGTTGGGAAGGCTGGCACAAGATCTTAGAGGACCTGACACAAAATTGAGTGACACACTGTAGGAGCCTAGAGGATAAGGGGGTTAACATGTATGTCTCAAGCATTGGTAGCCAGATGGCTGTGGAGCCAACCAAGGACTGTTGTGGCTGGAGAAGGTGCCATGTGGAGGTAGGGCAGCACTTTTCTGTGACAAATATCCTTGCCCTGGCTCCTGGAGATAAGCACAACACAGGACAAGAGCAGGAATGAGGTTGAGAAGGGAGCATGCACTGAAGGGGTATAATCAAAAACCACCAAAGACCCCTGAAGCCTCCAACTCATTTCCAGAAAAGTCTAGAAGAATGATCTGTGTATGATAACTAATTTGCATAGAAAGTGAGAAACTAGCAGGGAAAACTTATCTATAAAAGGTGCCCCCCTGAAGCCTGGGGGCACAGGCACCCCAGGATCCTGGACAATGCTGGAGCCAGGAATGATGGTCTCTCTTTCTCCCTTTCCTTGTTTCTTCCTTTCTTTCTCTCTCTCCCTCTTTAATCCATTTTCTCCCTCTTCCCTTTCACCCTTCCCCTTTATCCAAAATGTCCTGTGCTTACCCCAGGAGATCAGGGACTAACATCCCAATTTCCATGCCAAATGTGTCACTTACTAATAAAACTCTGCAAGTTCTTGTGGACCCTCTGACTTTCACCGTTCCTTTCGACCACAAATCTTGGGTACTTCTTTCCCCTTAAAGATGGGATGCCCCACACATTCAGTGGCTTGAATTCCCAGCTGGAATAAGCACCCAAAGGACTACAGGTTGTTTGAGGGATCTCCACTGGATGCAGAACAGCTACAGACAGGAAACCTGCAGTGTGGAGCTACCTCTCTGCAATGTCCCCCACCTTCCTTGAGTTTATTCTGTGAAACAGGAGGCTTAGGACACTCCCAAACTAGACCACAGATCACAGAATCCCAGATTAGTTTGGGTTGGAAGGGACCTTAAAGATCATCTGATTCCAACCCCCTGTCATGGGCAAAGACACCTTCAGCTAGACCAAGGTTAATCAGGGCCCCATCCAACTCGGCCTTGACAGATACACACACACAGGGTTTGGATTCCAATCCTAATTCAACTTGCAGAAATTATGGAACTTTAAAACAATCTCTCGGTCCTTTTAACTAACAACGGTTGTGCAGAAACTGCAGGAGTAACAGGGTGCTGAGCCTCACCAATCCTGCATCATCCTGCATCTTCCTCCACTCGCAGATTCCCAAAATGCTCGTGAAAAAATGTTTCAGCTCACATGTGGAGCCTTCCCCTAAACTTCTACAGAGATTAGATCACTGCAATTTTTACTGTCAAGTCATATGACTGTGTTTTCCATCCTGTGAATTCACTCCTGCCAAATATTCACGGAAGGTTAGAAGCATTTTTTTCTGGGGATGAGGTGAATGCAGAGGTACTTCAATGAATGTATCAACATTTTGATTTATCTTCCATCAAACAAAATTGAGATTGGACATAATCCAGGCAGTGTGAGTGCTGAAGTAGCATATCTTTCTCCTTATAAATTGAAATGTGGAATGGACTCTGATTTAGGGGTTGGGTATGGGAGAGACAGATGCAATGTTGGGTAAGAAGCCACAGCTTTGCTTCTCCCCCCTGCAGAACCCAGGCGGGCAGCAGCTCTGTCCCACCCCAGAGATGCCTGGTTGTGATAAAAGCACTGATCAAACATGGATTGCTCCTTGCTCTCTCTCTCCCTCTCTCTCTCCAAGCTCGCTCCCAACCCCTTTTCCTGTCCCTGCTCCTCCCTCACGGCGATGTGAGTTCACATCGCACAAACGGTGGCCTGGGATGAGCATCGATTGTGACATTTGATTTAAGTAGGTCTCATTTCACTGACTTTTCATGGGTAACTGGATAAAAGTGGGGGAGGAGCTCCATTAAAGCAAAAAAAGCCCGACACGTAACTCACTCCTAAACCACCCAGGAGTAACTGAAGGAATGGAGTTTGGTTTGTAAGGGATGAGCAGACTTCATCCCCATATCCCAACACAGGAATCTCTAATTTCCCTCCCTTCCATATCCTCTCTGATATCCCTCCACTCCCCAAAATCCTCAGGTTCTTTCACTTCTTTCTCAATCCCCTTTCCCATATTACCCACAACACTCTCCTAGGTCCTCCATCAGCTAAGGAAGAGATTTCATGTGCTGGACTATTCCTAGGTCAGGTGTTTGCTCACAGATGAGGCATTACACAAATGATGAGCGGTCAGTTGGAAGCCAGATTTTGCTGTAATAACTGGTGTCTCTCTGCAGTCCTTCCCACAGGAAAGCCCCTGATCTGCACCTCCTTCTTCATCTTTTAACCAAATTTTCACAAAAGCCATACCAAGTGGAAGGACTTTTGCTAAAGAGACGCCACAAAGTTCATCCCTCTACCCCACAGAGAAGAAATGGCTGGTGATGAGATTTGTGTTGGCATCATGAGGGTGGATAACCACAAAAAACACTGGCTGCTCCTTTTGGGATAATAAAATCATTAAGGTTGAAAAAGGCCTTAAAGAACAGCAAGACCAACCACCAACCCAACACCACCACCATGTTCACCACTAAACCATGTCCTCAAATGCCATATCCACATGTTTTTTGAACACTTCCAGGTGACTGCATTACTTCCCACGACAGTCTGTTCCAATGCTTTATAACCCTTTCCATGAAGAAATTTTTCCTAATGTCTAATCCACTTGAGGCAATTTCTTCTCATCCTAAATAAGTCCTAAAGCCTCAGACCCATGTAACTTAGGATTCTGCTTTCTTTCTTCGTTATTAAGGTTTCTCTGTCCCGCCCATCTTCCTTTTCCCATCCCCCTCTTCTTCCCTTTGGCAAACAAATCCTCATTTGTTTTATATCTTCTGACTAATTAAACCCCCTGACAGAATGTGGTTGGATGCTGTAGAATCCAAGCCTTGCGAGGGAAATTTCCTTAAAGGAGGAAAAGTGAGGGAAAAACAAGGCCGATTCAAAAAGTAATAATGCTGGCAACAGAAAGACCTCAAGGTAAGAGAGGAAGCAATCCTATGGGATTTTCCCAGCACCACAGCTGAGAAGAAACCGGTTGTCTGCAAAAGACAGGCCAGGAAAAGGGTCTCCACCTTCTCCAGGAGCACCTTGAAACGCAGATGAAGCCGTGCCCGTTTGGAGCTGGAAAGAAAACTTTTCCCTGGGCCAATCAGGAACAGAGCAGGTTGCTGTGAGTCGCAATTCCTGGGATTCTGTCACCAGGCATGACAAGGGAGGGGAGAAGCAATCAATGACATCAGCCAGGATGGAAATAACGAGCGCTCCTGCCTGGGGCTGCTCCTGTCCTGCCACCTCATCGCT